CATGCAAAAGTAAAACAGAAAGGGAAATGTGCATAAATATGAGAAAAAGATCCATCTTTTTCCTCATATTTTCCTTTAATTTGTCAAAATCTATTTTTGTCTGCAAGCAACAGATAGCTAAGTTAAAGGTCATAGCTAAGGTCGTTACACTAATGAACCCTACACACTGAGGATGGTATTTTCATCCTTATTAAATTACCTTATGGACCAAAACCACAAAAGGTGGACAAAGACAGAAGAAGACAGCGACAGACCTTCAGTAAAAAATGTCACGAAAGCTCTCTGTGGGCTCAATTATCGCTCAATTGAACAGGGAGCACCAATTTGTGCTCTAACTTGACACTTTTGTGTTTGTTAGAGGAGCTCCAGGCTGGAAACTACAAGCAAGGATATAACAGCTAATGGCTCCTCTTGATGTCAGACTTTTCCTGCTACGCAGACACTCCAGAAGTGTGACGGTGTCAAAATGTGACAGACCAAGGAGGGTCATTTCCCTTAAGCTTGTTTCAGGGGACAAGAGCAGAGGACACTGTGACAGAAACACCTTACTTCTTTTCTTCTGCACTGTCATTGCTCACCACTCTAATATCCTTTTTCACAGGCACGGTGGCACAAGCTCTAGCCCTGCATTATTACGTGCTTATTTTATTCCCTTTCTTCTTTTTGTGCTTCTATGATGAGCCTATCATAATAAAATCACTCTTCAGCATGACAAATGTATTCAGACCATCAATAATGCAATAATTGCCTCTTTACAAGCTAATTAAGATTTTAATGCTCACAAACATCAAGATGAAATGGGAATATGGAGCTGTGGTAACTAGTCATCAAAGCATCAACAGGCAAAAGAGGTTGTATTTCAAACTAAATGTTGCCTCAACCCACTGCATGGCGGCATAAATAAATATACACAAGTCAGTGATTTACATCCACAGCAGGTTGTAGTAGGTATTTCTCTGAAGCACATTAGAGACATCTACTGGCCAGAAAACTAATTCGGGTTTACACTTGGCCTGGTTGAGGAAATGATGAGATCACCTTCAAGATGTGATGTAATTGTCTTTGGAGAATTTGGGTATTCTGCCCCTAAAAAGCACAGTACTTATGTATTTAGTCAAGGCTGGGTAAAGACCAGAGTTTTTGACTCTGGTTATATAAAATGATTTTGATACATGTTGATAGATAGATAGATAGATAGATAGATAGATAGATAGATAGATAGATAGATAGATAGATAGACAACGAAGGGTATACGTCTTTTTCTCAGAAGGTATTTTGGACACGTCAAAGTATAAAAAGCAGGAATGCAAATAATGAAAGTTATAATGAGAACGCTTTAATACAACAGAGCAAGACCACTTGAACATTAAATGGGCCATGATATTTCTTTATAACACCTATGTAAACTGACAAAGTGGGGGATCGTATCTACTGTATGTTCCCAGGGTCCTACGTTCCCTAGCTCAACAAGCTCTCAATATGAATCACTAAGGAGACCTTGAAAATGGTTTAATGTTCTTGGCAATGTTTTTCCCCAGGTCAAACGTTCAGTTAATGTTTCCCTGGTTGAAAACCAAAGCCCCTAATATCTCCACAATGGCCAAACGTATTTTTACCATTCAAACTGCAATTGAAGAATCGGACATACAAATATCAGAGGACTGGACAGAGAGCAAAACCTTGTGCAATTCTTTCTCACCCCGAGACTAACAGCACTGCGAACAGGCCTACAGCGTCTGGGCTTTTGTTGGAGGCAATGCAGAACCCCACTTGCCAATCATTATTTTGTTTTCTGGGCACGCCCAAAAATACAACCATATTGGCAATAGATTGAAGCGGAGAATCATAAGATAATTGGGATGGATCTAGTCTATTCATTGGTCACGTTATACTCAGGAAAAATACCTGGATTGTGTACAAACTGCAATTGAAAAATCCATATCTTTTTGTTCTTTTGCTATTTGAACTGTGAGGCTAGTCCATACCGATCTTTGACGATGTTAGTTTATATCAAGAGACACAGAACCCTGGGAACACACAACAGGGCTGTCCCCCAATGGAGAAATGTTAAATGTGATCACAGTTAGTCATCAACCTAAGAGTATTATTGCCTGAACTTTAATAGTAAGTTTAAGTCATCCTCAAATTAAGCTAACGTTCCCTGACCAGCACCAAACAGACAGAATAAATTGTATAAAAGAAGACAGACACACTTTGAGACATTTTATTAAGGCTTAAAGTTATGCATAAATTCATTACAAGTGTGCTGCTTTGAGTGACAGGCTGTCAGCAGACAGTTTCCTTGGCTTCTCACTCAGATCCACCCTCTCGCTCAAATATGGTCACTTCTGGCTTCAAAAAATCCAAGATTGCAACAGCTGTAGACAGGTGACAGCATGGTAGCTATGTCCATTATTTTTTACAGTGTATGCACCAGACACCACTAAATCTCCAATAACTTATGCACTGATCCTAATAGAATAATAAAGCTATGACAAAAAAGTGTAACTAAAAGGCAGCGATATTTAAATGAGACTAAGAGTCTACAGCCATGCTGGCAGCGCTGTGAGGCTGTACTTAGGAACAGTGGTGTTGAGTTAAATATACTGTAAACACGCTATGCCCACAATCATTATGTTACATGCTGGTGCTTAGCAGGTATACTGTTGACCTTGTTAGCCATGTTGGTTTAGCACGCTAGCATGCTAACATTTGCTAATTAGCACTAAACGGAAAGTATATCTGAGGCTGATGGGAATGTTGTTAGATATGCGGGTATTTGTTTCAAAACCAAAGTCAAGGACTAATTCAAATTATTAAAATGAATAAAAATATATGAATGAATTAAGCCTTTGAAACCTGGAGCGACATCACTTTTCTTGTGCTGCTTTCAGACGCCTTTCGCATGTATTTAAACCTTTGAACCTTGAGCAAATTGGTGCCATTTCTTTCAGAAACACAGGAAAAAAGGCTAGGAGCAGTTTGGTAAGAAATGTTCCATGAGAGATTGAAGAAAATTATTGAATAATAATAAAATAATAAAACAGAGAAAAAAACTAGGGAAAAACATATTCATTATTATTGTTATTATAACACTTTTAAATTATGTTACAGAGTTGTTATAATTTTAAGCATTCTTTCTAGGTAATTTCCTTATTTATTTTTTTTTAACTAATTTTATTGTTTTTTTTTATTTTCTCATTTTACTAATTTCTTCTAATTTATGGGGACATTTCTTCTTTCGTTGCTCGTTGCCTTCTTCCCATGTTTTTTTTCTTAACTAATTTTTATTTCATTTTTTAATGAAAAGGAGAAGGAAAACAAATAATAGAGGCAAATAATAATGATAATATTCTCGCCTGTTTTTAAAAGAAATCAAGCCACTTTGCTCAGGTTTCAAAGGGTTAAATAAAATAAGATAAAAGATAAGAAGAACTTTGGATTCAGGCAGCAATGCAAAGTAAAATCTCTTTTTAAAAAGTATTCTATTCTATATTGTTAGTTTGTGGTTTAGTTATTTATTTAGCAGGTGCCACACACAACAAAAGACTTAGCATTAGCTATATTGCTAATTGGCACCTGTGGTCCCTGGGCTGTAAAATAGGCTATTAAAAGACAGTACAGACCTTACAATACATACAATTAAAAGCAAATGTGCAAATTTACAAACAGCACATCACATATGAAACATCATACAATTCCGCAAAACTTCAATTAATAGCCCGGGCTATTATTTACTTAAATCACTGAACTCAACAGGCCTATATTTGGGACAGGCCTTTAATTCCTTTCACACAAAACTGTTGCTCAGCAAAGACTGGGATTGTGAAATTATGAATGATGAATGATGATATGATTGTGAGTTACGGCACTCAAGGATTACACCACTTTATCCTGTAAAAACGATACTCACAACTTGGATTCATTTTTATTAAAGACCCTTTTGATTATTTTGATCTGAGGACCCTTATGGGCTAAAGGAATATGAATAACTTGCAGGGTAATCAAGGAATGGACACATAATGTGAGGTAGCCAACAACCTGCTATTATACATCTAAAGAACTTCTACAAAAAAAAATGAACAGCTTGGCAACCAGACCAGGCTTCTAACTGAGACAGGCCTTTCACCAGGCTAGTAAAAGGGATGAGGCTTTCAATTTAAGTTTTATGGTATTTAACCTCCTGTCTGTAAAATATTACTTTAATTTTTCAGTTAGTGCAATCAATCAGTTTGTACAGGCATTAATCTCATTTCCAGATTAATACACTGATTTGGATGTAATGTCTTTTCGCCCAGTTCATCACCAGAACCATTCTGTCTTCACTGTCCCTGCTGAGTCTGATAAAGAGACGGACGTCTCGTCTCTGGTTACTCGTCTTCATTACAACGCTCAGATTAGTACAGCCATTATGGCCCCATACATTCATGATGCTGATTCCACTGTCTGTGCCTAATTAGGGGAATAATTAAGTTCTTGTTCTGGTTCCACCTCTGTGACAGGCTCGCCTCTCTGCAAAGGGCACTGAGGAGAGGAAATGAGGAGTGTGTGTGAGTATCTCTACACACCCACATACTCTTCACATCCATCCTGCTTATACCCAGTGTGTTTTAATGTAATGAGCCTTTATAATGCAGCTCATCAGTATGCTGAAGGGAACAGAGGTCTGGATCAAGTGAAGTCATACTTTACTATACGCCCACACGCAAGGACATTACATTAGCATTGATTGTCCTCTATTTTAGCGAATATTAATAGCGCAGAAGAATATGGTGGACTGTCTATTAATGACACACATTATCTAATGTAGTTTATTATGATCCCAGGATGTTAAGAGCTGCTTCAAAGTCATCAGTCACGCAGTTAAGGTTATGGAATGATCGGACTACATTTCCCATAATGCAACAGGGTTTCTTTAGTCCAACCACGGCGCTTCTCCTGCTTGACCATGTGTTGTGTGACTGCCACCGGACGGCTGTCTGTAGACAGTGCAGGGAAACGTGCCACACAGCACAGTGACACACACACATACACACACACACCATGCAGGCAGCTCGACCCGGACCAGCAGCAGCAACAGAGATGTAAAAAAGATGGATTAGAGAATTATGTGCCTCGGCTCATCATCATCAACATGTTCCCGGGAGTTTTCTATGCACTGCTGGCGGGTTTCCTCGGGGCCGTGGCGTCGTCGTCGGCCAAACTGTCCCTCGGAGCCGACTACCTGAAAGGAGTGTGTGAAACCGGACTCCGGACGTGGGGAGAGCAGCGGAAATTTAGACAAGCGGACGAAACTACCGCCTGCGACCGGGTGAGGCACCGCCGCAGTTAGAGTGAATAATGAACACAGTGAGGGTGGCTGTGAATAATGCAGCTTGCGTGCCTGCGAGCGGGGTGATTTCTCACGGAGGAAGTTGGGGGGTGATCCCCTCCCGCCTCTCCTCCCTGACTCCCTCAGCATCAGCACCATCAGCAGCAGCATCACACGGGGGGAGCCCAGGCTGCAGCTGCGCTCTCGTGCCGTGTCCGCGTGCTGCTGCTGCTACTGCTGCTGAATGACATTGCAGCTCGTGTGAGAGTGTGTTATCGCGTTGTTTTGTGCGCAACTTGTCTCGGCGTGTGTTGTGCTGATGGCGTGGAGGAGAGGCTGGTGTCTGGAAAAGGGGTCAGGTTTCAAGTGTGACCTTCACGCTCTCCGCACACGTCACACGGTGATGTCAGAAACATGTCATGTGCAGGCAGCTGGAGCCTTAAGCAGTGGAGATATTGACCTTTAATTTTAAGGTTATTTAAATAGAATATAAGGTGTGCAGGTGGATGCAAAACAAATGCTATTAATATTCACCACCAGGCTTGAATGCGTCATAAGACTTCATCTGGGATCTCAAACCTGAGAGACACAATAATACGGATCCTTCGCTTTATAATGCTCATGTTTATAATGCTATCACAAAAATTAATAGAGATTTAAAACCTTCCTTAAAAACTTTATCCTTAGTGGATTCCCTTTCAGTGTATAATGGAAGCCTTAATTGTCAGGTAGGAGTCGAGTGACCTTACTCTCCTTACCTTCCTGAGACCCTGTGTCCTCATATGATGACATCACATTTTGGGTTTACTGGACCTTATAGTTTATTCTGCTTTACGTAGGCCTGTTGTCCTTGTTCATGGACATTCTTTTGTGCTGTCTAGTGGTAGTAAGACCACAATACACTGTTGCAATATAAAAACAAGATCATATCCATGTCTGCCAAGTCAGTCTGCAGCCATCCCTGACACAAAAGTGGACCAGGTACAAAACCTCATCACATTTTATGGTTGAATTGTGTTTATTTATGATTAAGACATTTATCATCAGTCCATTGAAGGAAATTTGGACTTTATTATCGTTGACAGTGTTTAGTTTTTTATACTTATCAGGTCCTACTAATCCCAAATAGCTAGGAGAAATGTATACCAAACAAAAGTTCGGGTCTCAGGAGGTTAAAGGGATGGTTCAAATTTTTTGAAGTGGGGTTGTATGTGGTACATATCCATAGCCAGTGTATTACTTACGGTAAATGTCTGTCAGCACGCCCCAGTTTGGAGAAGGGGAGCCAAAACAGAAGTTAAGCAATGTACTGCTGTGAATGGGGGGCAGCAGTCTCACCCAAAACAATCAATGACAGTTTAAGTGTACATTATTTAAAGGGTATTTTCACCACTGTCACAATGGGAAAGCAGTTAACGGCTTCAGTTTCACATCTATGGTCTCTTGAAAGCCAAGACTCCACTGACAAAAACAATAACAGGAGCTGCTGGTCTACCGCTGCCTTAATCAGTTAGTTAGCTTGTGTGACTGGTCTGAACACCAATGTCACACAATAACACAAACAAATAACTGTTTGAGGCAGTGATAGACCAGTAGCTCCTGTGTTCAGCAATGTTAAATCACTCTTAATCAAAGTGGTATAGCAGCTTCAGTTCTCAGTCAGAAATCGCTGTCTGACATTAAGGTAAAGCAGTGAAAATACTCTAAATATAGTGTACATTTAAACTGGTTTTGATTGTTGTAGGTGGAACATTTTTTAATTGGTGCCCCACTGTCCACTGCAGTACATTGCTTAGCTTCTGTGTCATTACTCCAGTCTGCTTCCCCAAACTGGGAGTGCTGCTGTAGGTAATATATTGACTTTGGATAAATGCCTCAGCCAAACTCACTTCAAAAAATCTGAACTATCCCTTTAAGCTTCCTCTGTTCAGAAGTTACTGACTGTTAAATATGTCTCGTGCACTTGTGACACCCGTCCCCGTTATGGGATCAGCAGTCTCTACGTTGATTTAACAGGTAAAAATAACAAAAGGAAGCAATCCTAAAAATAAATTTAATTTCATTTCAGTATTCATTCAGCTCATGCATCAAGAGAACAAAAGCAGGAAAACTCATTAACAGTACAGTATTATTCATCTTTATATGACACTAAAACAACAATACATGTGACAGCCAATGCCCCCAAAAAATGTAACAAGCACCCCAAATGGGATTATTTTGCTAGCGAATAAACTAACAACCACATGTTGTAGCCTGGTTTACGAATACACCTCTCAAAACTAAACCTCTTCCTTTATACGTTTTAATGGTAATAATGTTTTAGTAGTAACAGAAGAGCCGGATATTTAAATTTTGACATGAAAAACACTGAGAGTCCTCTCACCCCAATGCTATGTGTCTACTCCTGAAATGACCCTGTAGATGACCTCTGACCCCAATTCTGTAGATTTCAGTACAAATATTTTCTTATGAATGTGACCACCAACAACAGTCTCCCCCAATTTTATACTTAACACGGTGTTAGGTCTGATATTTGCAGTGGTGGGATGTAACTAAATACTTTTACCTTAGTGCAATTTTAGGTGCTTTTGCTGCACTTGCATTCCCAGTTTATGTCACAGCTACGTCTACTCCAGTAGTTTTCTGTTTGAAGTATTGTAGTTTTTACTAGGGATGTTCCTGGCGACTAATTTCCCTGTCGACTAAATGAAAAGTTTGTTGTTAGAGTTGAGGAGTCTAAAAAAAGGCAAACACTCAGAAAAAAGTCACGGTTCTGGCAAGGTGTATTCAGACTCAACATATTCCATTAACTTCCTGAAGCTTTACCTTCAACAAAGTTTAGTTCAGGATCACAGCACCTCTGGGTGAACAATGTCAAATTGGTCTGAGTGTGGCTAGCACCGCTAGCAGCAGCAGCCATCATTTTGTGCAGGTTAACATCCAAATGCTAGAGTTGAATGTGGTTGTGCATTGCTCCAGTTGAGTGATTATATGCCAGTTTTTTCTGACACAGCCTACATGCTACCTTGTTTTCATTTTCTAGATCAAATTACTGCCAACCCATGCTGGTTTTGCAAGAGGACATTTCTCCAGTTTCCCACTGTGCTTTTTTTTTTTTAAACTCCAGTCTACTCGAGTATTACCACGGGGCGGGGGACTGCTATCTGACGGCTCTGTAGCCCCCACTAGTGGCGGGCGGATGCATAAGAATTAAGCGGCCTTGTACATTAATAAAACACTAATTGGATTAACCGTCTCATATTTCTGGTGCTGACTAGCAAAGGGGCAGACGTTTAATCGTTAAGACAACTAATCGTGCGCATCCCTAGATATTTTTATTTTACACACGAAACATAGCCAGTTTATGAAATATGATGCATTTTACTAATCCCAATTTTTTTAACTATGTAGCTAGTACTTGTTGCACCTCCGGCAACCACAACATGAAAGTGTTACATAAACAGGGCGCAGAGGACGTTACCGTCAATATTTAGAGCATGTGCGTTTTTCCATCCCCCCAAAAAACGGAAAAGTAGCAGAGGACTTTTATTTTGACAAAATTAAAGACATTTACACCATAAGTTGACAAATTGGTGCAGAAAAATTCAGAATGCAGGTAAGTAAGTGGTTGATGCTAAACATTTTCTGGCAGAGGACCTCCCAAACCCCCGTTTCATATGTGTCCCCCCAGTGTTAAAGGAGCTATATGTAAGAAATTTAAAGCAAATAGTCGTAAAATCCTCCTAATATGTCACAGAGACTAAGGAATAATGTTCATATAACATACTGATCTCACCGACAACAATAGTACAGCCAGAATATTCGCATTTTAAAAAAAAATTTACGGTCCACAAATCATGTTTATGTTTTGAATTTGTGTTTTGGCCTGTTGCGCCACCCACTGCCTTCTACCAGTCATGCAGTCAGTAGAGTCTCAGCATCAGTTACAGTTACGACTGAGCTACAGCAGCACAGCAAGCAGCATTAGCAGTGTCCCGGTACATAGCATTAGCAGCCAGCTACTTCTCAGCTGTATACCGGCAGCAGCGTTAGCAGTGTCCCAGTACATAGCATTAGCAGCCAGCTACTTCTCAGCTGTATCCCGGCAGCAGCGTTAGCAGCAGAGAAGCCGGACTTGCTCGAACGGTTCGCTGGAAAACTGAAGATCAAGGACACGGCAACGCGGCCCTGCCACGGCAGCCGCCCGTGGGCAAACAAATCAGTCTCCAGCGTGCCGCTGTCCAGCAACCTCGAATCTGTAGGGGAGGGGGGGCGGACACGACTCGCGGCAGTATTTTGAATTTGAGTGCAGTAACCATTTTGGCCACATTCTTACATACAGCGCCTTTAAAGGACAACTTCAGTATTTTTCAACCTGGGCCCTATTTCCCCATGTGTATGTGTGCGTATGATTCATGGGTACAACTCGTTCTAAAATTGGTTCAGTATTGAGGGAGGCGGATCTCTGCTCCAACACTGACTGACAGCTGACTCCACTCGTAGCAGTGGCAATCTGAACCAGTCAGTGGCGAAAAAAAGCACTTTTAATGCGCAAACTTAAACGGGATGTATTTGCCTCCGTTACTGTTTTAGCTCGTTTTGTGGCTCCGGTTGCATCCGCCTCCCTCAATACTGAACCAATTTTAGAACGAGTTGTACCTATGAATCATACGCACACATACACATGGGGAAATAGGGCCCAGGTTGAAAAATACCGAAGTTGTCCTTTAAAATGAAAACTATGCCTCTGTACATACAGATGTCTATTATATAAAGCCTATAATACATTATGATAAGGTAACACTGCTGCATTCTGCTGCACAGTACTCTTTTTACAGGATTAAGTGGACACAAAACAACTAATAAGTGTCTCTTTTTGTTCCTCAGCTCCATATCCCTCTGAGGCTGCTGTGCGGCGGGCTGCTTTTCACCTGCAATGCTGTGATGTGGACCTTCCTTGCCAAAGCACTCAGGTACTCTTCTTCCTCCACCCGAACCACTGTGACCACCACCGCCTCCAACTTCATATCTTCCGTGAGTACCAGTCTCTCTTACAGGACTCTTACTATTTGTTTTCTAAGCACAGTGCTTCACATCAGACTGTAGTGGAGTGTAAGTTAATTTCAGAGTGACCTTACATCCTGTCGGTCTTATATAAGCTGCTTTATTTTAGAAAATAGGCTGGACTATATTCAGAAATACTTTGTCACAGTGATTTAGGCCTCTTTCAGGAATTTCTTGTCAAAGTTCAACTCCTTGTTTTACATGTCCCCTGAAGGCATCCTTACTGGCTTTTATTGTAGAGACTGATTTACTTTGACTCAGAAGAAACCCTGATTTTTTTTCTCTTCCTGCAGGCTTTCCTGGGCCAGCTGATCTTTGGTGAAGCCCAGATAACATTGTGGTGGGTTGGGGTCTCCCTGACGTTCTCTGGCCTGTTGGTACTGCAGAGGGTTTCACCGCAGGATGGGCAACATGACGCAGGCGCCAAGGATGAATAATAAGTCTTGTCTCCACTAGTGTTCAGCCTGGCTCAGCTGGCTGTGGTATGAGGTGTGTTCATGGTCTGCATTTCCACTGATTTTAAGATCTAGCCAAGAAAAAATTGATGTTAATCTTCCCCCAATCACTAGTTTTACTAAACAAATGGTCTCCTGATTAATGAAATGGCACTCAAAATGAATCCTCCCTGATGAGGAGGAAAAGCTTGATTTGTAATGTTGCTGTTTATTCTTCAGGTAGGCTGAGAAACACCGCTGCCTCAGCTGTGGCGCAGCATTGTTTAGGCCTGTTCTAAAAATCACAGGAGATGTTGGCCTTCAGCCAGTCTGACCATGGCGCAGCTACAATCTGACTAGTGGAGACAAGCTAATGGATGCCTGCAGCCAGCTTCCCAGAAGCTCTAAAATCATCTTTGTCCACAGGCTTAAAATGAAGCAAAAATGATACTAGCTTTACTTTTCTTTTGGGGAATCTTTCAGTCAACAGCAGCACAAAAGGAGGGGAAGAGGCTGAAAGGAATAGTTTGACATTTTGGGAAAAATACTTATTTCCTGCTGAGAGTTAGATGAGAGGACTGATACCACTGTCATGTCTGTGAAATGAATGTGAAGCACATGCTAGCGGCTAATTAGCTTAGCATAACAAGTGGATGAAACAGCTAGCCTTTCTCTGTTTGAAGGTAACAAAATCTGTCTACCAGCATCTCTAAGGGCACGGTCACAAAATTAACATTGGCAAATATTCACCTTCCGTTCACTTCATTCACTGCGAGCTAAGGGGCAAATGAAACATTTGCTTCCGGTGGCAAAGTAAATTTGCATCTGGGCATCAGGTGGCGTTCAACAGAGTTTAACTTTACTGAACTTTGACTGGGGAAGTTGCAGCCTCCACCAATAGCAATGAAGTACGTGTAGAGAAAATATTGATTTGATTGTTCTAACAAGTAGATATTATATGATACTGGCCAACCTCTAGCTCACCAGGTAGAGTGTGCGCCCCAGGAGGCTTCGACCTTTGTAGCCGCCCGCGTTCAGTTCCGACCGGCCCTTTGCATGACATCCAAGACAACAACAAAAAATGCCCCACATGAGAGTCGGGAGACCAATTAACACCACAATAGCCAATCAGCACTGAGCTCCTCCGGGGACGTATGACTCTGAGGACGCACTGGCAGAAGTTCATTCATCGATCCAGCGATTTCACACATGTATGATGGGAGTTATTTGCGCGTACTGAACAAGTCAACACAAAGTGTTCTAGCGTTAAAACATACGAGTAATGTGATGCGAAAATTTGCATCACGTTTGGTGTGACCACAACATAACCCCTCCCCTACCCGCCTCTCTTTTTTAATCTATCACTTCATAACTAGCTAAATGCTAACTTAGCATTTTCTTCAGGGCTTCCACCGCCGGGCCGATCGCATAGGTACAGTGGGTGAGACACGGAGCTCTAGGGTGGGTCACAATATTCTCAAATATTGCCTCAGCAATCAAATTTACACAAAAAGCTGATTTATACGTTATGTCTTGTTTGTTTAATTTTAGCACAAATAGTGTTTTTTTTATACACGTTGATTTTGGTGCATATTAAACAAATGAGAGGCAGATTTTGTTACCTTTGGACAGAGGAAGGTTAGTGGTTTCCAGTCTTTATGCTTAACTAAGCTAACATCTCTTGGCTGCAGCTTCATATTTAATGTACAGATGTTAGAGTGGTATCAATCTTTTCATCTAACTCTCACCAAGAAAGGTATTAAGTGCATTTCCCGAAATGAACTGAACTGAACTGCTTCTTTAAAGGGAGAGACAGATATAGTAATACAATACAATTTGAGAACCTGTGTGCACACTAACAGACTAATCTGGAGTCTTTTGGGCCGTGCTCATGAGCAATGGACAAATAGCATCACTGGCTATGTGCGTGATGTCACTGTACATCAGCCTGTGCATTATATATCGCAGCCGTCAGATCACCAAAGCTTTTTTAACTCTCACATTTCCTTAAGTTACTCTGACACTCACTGTAAACATCCTACACTGATGCATTTTATGCTGCATGCTTGAGGGGAAGTTTTAAATGAAGCACTTAACTGATGAGGCAAACTCATTTTTTCACGAGTAATAATACTAATGTAGCGCTGAAAGGCTCCACCCTGGGTCTTTCTTTTACTTTTCATTTGCCTTTCTTGACAGCTTGAACCTCAAGATATGACAGGTTTTAATTCAGAGGCAGCTGCTCTTCCATATCGTGACAGATGTGTGCATGTTCCTACCGAGGCTTGAACTCAAATATCTCACACCAAAGCATCCTGGAGTGTCAGTCCACAACAGAGTGACGTCCCTGTGAGCTGCTTCATGTTATTTATCTCACAATCCTGTTACTTCAGTGTCCAAACTGTCTCTCCAGTGTAAGAGAAACCACACAGCCTCATGGTTGCTTGTTGAGCTTTATGCACCCCGTTCTTGCAATCTCATATTAGCCTCTCCATCACCCATCATCCCTCTGGGTTTCAAAGACACCTTGCTTCATTAAAAGCTTCCCTCTATATCCCTGGAGTCGTCAGAGTGCAATAACATTAAACTTCCTTTAAATCTCATAACACTGTGATGTGTGTAACAGCGAGGGAGTTTTAAGCATTAATAATTGAGCATAGAAAATGGCAATACATGCTGCTAGAGGGACGTTTCTGTTAGCATAAATCAGCTAAGTGCGTATACTACTAGTATACAGGGGTTTGACATGAAAGGTTGCTCTACTTAATGGTATTTTAAGATCACATTTTGCTGTTGTTTGGATACATATCATGATATAAATGCATAACGGTAGCTATAATATCTGTCTGTAATATTCCACAGCAGCAACGCACAAATATATGAGATGTCCTTCCAGCCGCTGCTGTGCAGGTTTTGTATCATGTGATTTACATGCATCCCTATCAATGTGACTGCAGTGACAATGTGATTATACAGCTCTCATGTTAAAGGCTGGCTGAGTGATGTTTCATAGCAGGGCTGCAATCACCGCGCGGGATTCTTTAGCTGTGGAGATCACTCACAGACACGCAGAATTTAGCTGTTAGTGCCTCCACGTTTTGGCATCCTGGGTGTGTTGCATTATCTAAAATAATAGTTTAACATTTTGGGAAGTTGTGCTTATTCACCTTCTTGCAGAGAGTTAGATAAGAAGTTTGATACCTCTCTTACATTTGTCTGATAATATGAAGCTGGAGCCAGCAGCCAGTAAGCTTAGCTTAGCATAAAGACTGGAAAGCTAGCCTGGCTCTATCCAAAGGTAATAAAATACACCTATCAGCACCTGTAAAGCTCCCAAATTAACACGTTATATCTAAGTTGTTTAATCTGTGTAAAAACTGAAGGGTAAAAACAACAATCTGTGATTTTACAGAGGGTTATGTGTAGTATTATATCTTCCTGGAGTCTTGTCACCACTGTTAGGTTGCCAGGCAACCAGCGGGCTAGCAAACATTTTCGTGATCTTTAGGCCCTGCCCACCAAAGCGTTTTTTTCACAGCTGGAAACGCCAGGCGCTCCTCAGGAAACGCTCAGCTGGGAGCGTTTGAGAGTGCTTTGGAGGCATAGCGTTTTTTTAGCTGAGATTTTTTTGATTGCGTCTGATTGGTTTAGATATGAATATCTGCAGAAGTGAAAACTTCGGCACGAGGTAGAATACTTGCTCTGTATGAAGCAAGGGCTGAAGCATGTAGGGAGAGAAGAAAGACCCGCCTAGCTTTTCACTCTGTTTGGAGTCTTTATGTTAAGCTAAGCTAAGCTAAGCTAAGCTAACCAGTCTAGCCCAGTTCAGAATAATTATTTGCAACAAGATGAAGCCGTTTAAGAACATTGCAGAGAAAAGTTGCAACAGTGTGAACTAGCAAGTCTGAGCTCGACTCAGGCCAGCTGATGGTGTCACCTGCAACTCAGCTGGTTTTAGAACTTAAAGCACGTCACCTGTTTTAACAGCTAATCAGCTTGTAGTGAAGTCCACTGGTCAAGTCAAAAGACCGCAGACAATATGTTTGCTTTCTGCGGCAGGTGCTCCGTCTCCGTTGAGCCCTCTGTTCCCGTCCTCACGGTGTGCCGATATCGGACGGTGGGTCACTGTTTCATCACTACTACAAATGTAACTGTAGCCAGTATCTCACTATCACTACCCTCATTCATGTTTTAAGAAGCTACAAGTTATATTCAGCCTCAAAATGAGCCTGAAAAGCTGCAAATCAGAACGGTAGTACAGACAGTTGTTGCTTAGAGATGATACACCATCTCATCTGGTTGCATTGACGTGAACCGGCAGGTTTTTAGAACATTGCAGAATGGCGCATTGTAAGTAGTTGCATGTTTCGCCTTGTCTCGTCATTTTTATCTGAACTGGGCCTATTGTAGGTTCTGTTAGCTGCGGATAGAGCCAGGCTAGCTGTTTCCCCGTCCTTATTCTTTGTGCTAAGCTAATCTTACTAGCTGCTGGCTGGAGCTTCATATTTATCGTACAGACATTAGAATGGTGTCGATCTCAATGACAAAGTGACAAAGTGAATTTCCCAAAAATGTCAAACTGCTCCTTTAACCTACCTTTAATATCTGTAATCTTTGCTTTTGACTCTGAAGATTTTTTGGTGCCTGGCTTTCCTCCAGTTAACAGCATGACATACGAGGGTAAACCATCAACCTGTGAACCCACTTTCACTGTAACATAACCAGTTGGAGCTTTGCAGAAGCCACATTTATAGCTCTGTGACAGCCGCATGGCCCTGAGTGTGATGTATTTATATCCGTGTGCACATAAACTGTTGATGTGGCTGTACACAGAGATTAGAAAACCACTGACATACAATATTGACCTGACATGGTGTGTCACAGTGACGAGTTAATGTGCTGCACTGCAAGAAAACGGCAGTAGATTTATCAACACTTATAAATTTTGGGAGAATAATGGAAGGAACTGATTTTGCATTAGTTTGTTGGTACTCTTTAACCTAAAGGGTGTGCAGATCAGTCACTACTTTAATCTGAAGGTGGCCACACATTATGTTCAACTTTTTAACACAAATCGACATAGCTTGATTAGAGGGTGACTCTGTTTGCCCTGTTATAAACCATCATGATGTGTCTTACAGATTATGTGAAACAGACATTTGTAAAAGTGTAAATATATTCTGTTCATAGGAAACACTTAAAGAGGATGTGTATGTTTCCATCCGCACTGAGAGAAAAAACACTGTTGAATTATTAAATAAACATCTCATCTGACAAACCAGATTCTCATCTCTGTCACTCACATATTGTTGGCTCTGGGAAGATGTTGAGTACGTCCTCATGACGACTGTGTTCTTCAAACACTTAAGTTTCTTGGAGCTTTTCTGCTTCCAGATCAATGGGACTAGATGTGAATCACAATGACATCAAAGATGTGATGGTCTGTGTTTTCCTGCAGCAAACAGGGACTTTGTACTCATTTAGCTCGGTGTCCTCTCTTTGCATTCAAACACAGTAATGTGTAATGAGGAGTGTGCTCACTGTAGTTAATGGAGCTGGATGTAATGTTCGCCTTGAGCTAGTCTACATCTACTTATGCAGTGATGCTCCATTAGATCAGCTCTCCTCCTTTAAATACCTCTTGTGAGAATGGAAGATGCGATGCACTCCAGTAACATGGCAGATAAGAGCATGCCTCTGCACTGAAGACAGAATTAAGTTTAAGTTTTTTTTATCATCAACAGTTGTTAGGTGTGCAAATTTCTTATTAAGGAAGTCTTTGTTTCTCAAAATTGAAGAGAGCTAATCAGCCAAGGCATAAAATATAGGCCTAATGTTAAAAATTTTTTTTGTTTTTTATCAAGAAATCTATACTTTATGACATTAAACTTTCAATTCATATACATTGTAATGCACAATATATGTATACTATACACTGTGATTTCATAGAATTATCCAATCTTAACTACAACATGTGTCTGTCACAGATGCTTTCTAATGATGAAGAACTAACTATCAAAGTTAAGGGGGAAAGTATAGTATAAGTACAGCCAAACTCTGTTATTCACTGTAGATAATTTACTATATTTTACTGTGAATGGAAAATGGACAGTGAATAAAACACTGCACCTGCAATACTGATTTGTAATTTGACATTAACGTATCAAATATGTCCTTTTTGGCATGCCATCCTTTTTCACAAAGACCATATTTGTCAAAATAAAGGTATACTGAATAACCGATTCAACATAATATCCACCAAATAAATATACATTTAGATCATTTCTGTGTAATCTGTATTTGTAATTAAAAACAGTTAATGTTCAAATTAAGAAATTAATTTGTGTACTGTAAGTATTCTTGTGTGTTTTTTTTATTATATTTCTTTAGGAGAAAAGGTTTTACAAATGTTTTCTAATGATGGGACACAAAATTACAGACAAAACAAAACAAAAAAAAATTAACAATTAAAAATAATTATATTTCTGTAATGTAATGGTAACTGGAAACTTACCATCAGACTGTCGGGGTGTGTTCTTTACAATTTGGGTGACTCTGTATTAACAAATATGTTCCTGAATTTAAAATTCTAAATTTCTCTTCTTATTATTTCTTTGTTTGGTCTAATTTCTAGGGGTAAAAGTTTAATTTTCAAAAAATTCAAAAATATTTCTCAAAAGTACACCAATTAAAATTAAGGGTTCTCCAATTTTTTACAGAGTAAGACCTTGCCTGCCAAAATAAAAGTAAACAAAAAAAAAATTCAATGTAAATTTAAAACACTTTTCTGTGTTTTACCTCAATAAATCTGTACTTGTAATTAAAAAAAAAACAATGAAGAAATTCAATGTGTTTTATTTGTTTGCTTTTGTTTCTTTTCAAATTTTGGAGATGTTTGTTTGATAACAACCATGAAATGTATGTTAATTAAAATATTTTTCTGTATTTTACCTATAGAAATCTGTACTTGGAATTTAAAAGTAAGCAATCATTCAAATTAAGATATTCAAAGGTATTTGTGGGTTTTTTTTTAGGGGTAAACATTTTATTTTTCCACATTTTTTTAGATATTTTCTAATGATGGGCCACAAAAATACAAAGAAAGAGTAAATAAATAATATAAAATTTACTGTAAAATCATTTACTGTATATTTCTGTCTTTTGGAAACTTACACCAGAGTATGTTCATTACAAGTGTTTTGTGCAGTATCATATATATGTCCTTGAATTTAAAATGAAGGATCCAAAATTTAGATCTTATCTTTAAGTATAAAGAAAACAGACAAAGTCAATAAAGTATCTACAAAAAAACATAAAGTTGTGTGACATACATATTGTTTATTTCATTCCCCTTTAAAAAGAAATACCACAGTCAAAAAGAAAGAGAAAAACATCATGTGGTCCACAGTAAGTACTACAAATGGTATTCATACCTGACCACAAAGAACATATCGAACAAGTCAAGAAAAAAAGAAAGCTGGTGTACTTTATGTGTAAACTGGAGAGCAACTGTTGCATCTCCACATGATGATAGTGTTTTCCCATTTTTCTAAAAACTCCAGTGATTTTTTAACAGCCTAAGAAAATGTCGCTCTCGATGATGCTCGACTGTTTAATGGTTCCTTCTTCAACTCTCTTTATTAGGCATTCAATTTGGCAACATGTATGTTCAAATATGTCCGTTCATCACCCTCAGAAAGCATTTTTATAAATATAGTAAGGCTTTCGAACACATTTGAGCAAAGGCATTTTTAGTGTTAAATGCTTTGAAGTGGCCTAAATCCTATCTGCAACATATTCGCATCACCAAAGGTAAAATCTTCACCCTCCTCACACTGAGTGGCCCAGTACTGTCCAGAGCTGCGACAATTAAAACTTGCATTTCTAACGTGGTCTCTGAGGCCTCTGTGAATGTTTTCCACTGCCCTTAATTTCAATTATTTTATCCTGTAAGGCTTTTCCCTCCTCTGGTCGGGCGTACAACAACAGTCTATCACAAACTGGATTACCCACAAGCAAACTCCAGCAACTGAGAGCGAGTGAATATCACTTAGGGTCAGTGCATTCATAGAGCAATGTGTATTGCTTTGATTCCCTGACTTTCTATCTGAGCTGGTGACTGTGATTAAAACGGTTATAAAGCAAAGAGAACAACTAACAGACTGATAATCTACAAGACATGCTGCCTCTTGGATGAGAAACAAGACTTTGTTTACCTGCCAAGTATCATGTTTTTAAGTTATAATCCTTAAGACTTCCATGAGTTCAACCCCCACTTTTTGATTGGCTTTTTTTTTTTTTTTTTTTTTTTTAAGCAAGCAGCCATTCGATGTAAATAATGTCAGTTATTACCACTCTATAGTATGGTTTTCTAAGATGGTGGCGGAGTCCGCCATTATTGTGCAAAGTCAAATTGCCTTCACACACCTGTGGGACTCACAGCGCTACTGTTTTTAATTTTATCTCACTGAAATTAGCCCCATTAAGTGTGTTTCCATCCACATTTTAATACTTGAGCATAAAAAAGTTTTTGCGCTCGGCTGAGGTGGAAAAGTCAAAAAAAGTGCATACAAAAAACAGCAACTTAGCAATAAATCATGATATATATGAAGCATGTGCAACACTCTCTTACATCTTAACGACTGACCACTGACTTCCAAAATGACAAATATGACCTTCCTCCCGGTCGCAGTTTTAAATACATCCTTAATGTAATGAAATGATCGCCACATTTGGGCAACAAAACTAGGTAGTTAGGTTTACAAAAACATGGTTTGACATTCAGTAGTTTTGTTACAAACGTAATGTGACGTCACATATGTTACTAGTGTAGCATGCCACACAAACTGGCATACTGGGCTACATTGTTATTAAAAGAACTAAACATTGACTTCAGGCCATGTACACCAGTCTCCTGGGTGAAAGTCCTGTGCTTGTTTGACCCATCCACCATGTCTTCCATTTTTATACATATTACACGGACTCTGCCACTTTTGATATTTCGTCATGTCACTTCCTCTTGCTCCCATGATAATGATGTGGAAACTACCATTCCTCAAATTTCAATACATGAAACTAACATAAAAGCAACATTTCCATTCGTTTTAACTGTTCCTCCTTGTTACATCATGCCATTGCACACTCTTCTTCTGTAATAATTTAACTGGCACCTGACTGGAGAATTAGTACCACAAACTGTTTCTTGATGTGGCCAGCTTCTAAGAACTAAATCAGAGCACGGTTGCATATGGACCAAATGGAAACCTCTGTGGCTGAAAAATTAAGCTAAGGCGAAGTGTCAAAAACTGCACTTCCTCTAATGGCCACTTGAGGCTGGCACCAGAAGCCAATGAATCCTTATAGACCATCATGTTAAAAGGTTTTGGTCTCCCTTTAAATATCATTAAGGCTTAAAGTTACACATAATTGAGGGCCTGGCCACTTTGAGTGACAGGCTGACTGAGAGGGGTCAGATCCACCCCTCACTCCTCCAAAGCTCCACTATCTCGTCTAAATATGGTCACATTTTGCACCAAAAAACCACGGACAAAATCTAGGTTTCAATCAGGAGTCCACAAAGCAATGGGTGACGTCAATGTGTCAACCATTATTTTTAAGCAGTCAATGTTACGGACATAATTGTGAGTTTGTTTGGCTGCACTGTTAACAAATCACACTTCCTGTCACCACTGGTAACCGTGGGTGCTGCCAAATTAACCAAGTCTGAAATCTTAAGGATTATAACTTTAACTGAGGCTGCTCTCTGTCCTACAGCCTTTAAATAACCTTCACAGTGACCCTGCTCCAGTCTGAGCAGGAACTTGGCGAACAGCCAGTCTGAACGACAAACAAAACAAATACTTATACTGCTTTTATCAGTGACTGGTTTCAACTTTCTTCGGGTGCCAGATAGGTGGGGTTTAATGCAGATTAAAGGAGTGTAAATCTAAAGAAAATTTTATTTAATTTACCCTGAAAATACATTTGTTTGATGACCTAAACTAATCCACCTATCTGGCATCAAAGAACAACAAAATACACTAATTTAAAATAGTATTTAACCAATGCGATCCTGTCTCACCCTGACTGTCATAGTAAGGCAAAATAAAAGAAATGTCTTTAAAAATAGCAGATGCCACCGTTCGCTAACGCACTGTTCTAAGGCAAATCATCCACCACACTCAGCATTAAGACTATTGCAATGACAGGAATACAGCAAATGAAGAAGTGACAGGATCACAACAATGTTTACAGGAAGACAAAACCGGGAGTCCATCTTAGCACCCGGACTGCAGAAACATTCTGGACTTCAGTTTCAAGTTCACATTATTTAGTCTTGGAAGCAGGAAATGATCAGACATACTGCAGAAAGAACTCAGTCTCTTGGTGTCATTTCAGCAACTCCTATTAAGTGCTTCTTGTCACGCTGTTGCTGCCCAGTTTGATTTCTTTCTTGTTTTCTGTGCAGCTACGCCTCATTAATCTCAGTCAGCACCCAGAGGGGAACAATAAAAATAAAAAGAGGGTGAAGGGTTTTTAAAAAATAAACATTTTGACAACGTAGCTTACAAGGAAACACCCTGAAATATTGATAAATGTTATATCCAGAAACGAAAGGAGAAGTAGAAGTGGCTATGTGGACTTTCATGCTCATTCAGGTCCGGCCAATAGGAGGGGAGAACAGGAAGTTCACAGCAGCAGAGCTCCGCTATGCTTCCAGCATTCACACAATGTACTGGTACAAGTCTGCCTTGCCGTGGTCGGGCGATGAAAAGGGGCTCAGCCAGGCTATAGAGAATGGATGACCAAACACCACCTTCATGTTCATCCACTTTGACTTTTTGGCCCATCGTCTCTCCTCCTTCTTAAGCTGTTCAATGCCCTGCAGGGATATAAGTACAAACATGAGTGTCTCCTGTACTGGCTTGTGCTAAGAGCTGATACATATAGCTGTGCATTTAAATCTTTAATGCGCCGGCAGAAAATAACCAGTGGAAGGGATTAAAAATGAAGCATGTTTTGTATGCTTTCATTTTTCTCTTGGAGGTCTTAAACAGGGAGGTTGGGGTGACTCACTCTCAGCCTTTCCTGATGTCTAAAAACAGCACACACACACACACACACACACACACACACAGATGAGGATACACTAACAGAAGAAAGAACTACACAGGCCCCATTATACTGAAATTGACTGAAATAGCTGATCTTTGAAAGTGAATATTATAACATTGTGAGTCATCATCGTGGGCGGTTTGAGCAGATGCGTTATGAGGAAATATAGTCTCAACCCACCTGGGGGCTTTAGAGTAAGTGAATTACCTGCTTCTGTGTACACCTGCGCTCTGATTTACTGAACAACAGACAGAATGAAGTCATGACTTACTTTAGGAAGTCAGAACTGCTGTACAGACGATACAAGAGATGATTTAAGACCTACGTGTGTCTTTCAAACAGAAATATAACAATCTCAGATGACATTTTTACAGGTACTTGCGGCTCCATTATTACACAGAATAAAGGTGCATTCATTCCGCTCCCATGTGTGATTGTAAACAGCATCCTGGCATCGCAGAACCAAAAGAGGTATGACGGGCCTGATGTTTAACACAACAGCACTGTACTCTAGTGTGACATAAAGCAGACGCTTTATAAACATTACAATGGCATAACATGGCAATAACAATCATCTACCTTCTCTGTAATATGGCGTCTGATCACATCCTCTGGTCGGAGAGTAAGTAGCTCCCAAATGTCATTGTTTTTCCAATTTACATACATTTTTGGCCACTGTTCTTCTTCTTTGAGTTAGCTGCTAACTGCTATCAACTGCTTTTAAATCTTTCACGGTTTGGCACACGCATAACACATTTTACCTTTCTTTTTTACCTTCTGCAGAGGTTTAAAGGTGAGACTACTCTGTGCCCCCATTCTGCAACTGTACCTTTATATAAAGAACGTGAGGTGGCATAATGGCGCGATATACCCGCCTTGAACAGGCAGTGTAAAAGGGGCTGAGGACACAATGCACAAACCCCCCATTTTTAAATATCCCATGATTGCGAAAGGGACTCTGAACACTCCAGCTGGTTCTTTTTTGTTCTGAAAATGTTAGCATTTAACGAGGTGCAGACATTCCTCTGCATCGCACACAAGCAGGAAATACATCTAGAGCTGGATGGAGCAGTGTTGTGGCTATTACTATCCAGTAACAACCCGGTTCTAAGGATAATATACCGAAAGTGTTTGGTGGAAATGTGCCTGTTGTAGCCTCAAAATCATGCCCTTCTACTTCAATGTAAGACCCAATTTTTAACTGTAAATTGGTGGGAAAAAAACTGTTTTGAGAATAATTTCAGAACTACTGAATATGCACAATTTGGCTCCTTTAGACCTCCTTAAATATAAATAGGAAACAGATTTGGATGAACAGTTTTAGAGGAAACAAATTAAATAATAATAACAAGTATGTCTTAGGCATACTGAGTGTGTTCTGAGTGCCTGGATAACTTGCCTGACTTGCTGTCTAAACCCAACCATCAACCCACAGGCACTGATGTAGCTAGAATTCATACCACAGACGAGTGACATGGTTGTGAGTTTGCAGCTGTTCTCACTCACCGTCTCATCGGTGCAGATGGAGTGGACCTGGGTCCCAAACATGACTGCAGTGAAGATCAGGAAGAGGAGACCCTCGAAGCAGAGGAGGATGAGGAGGATGACAGTCGCTGGTGGAGAGAAGTTGCTGCACTCTGGAGAAGGAGAGAGATTTCGCATGTTAAAATGTTGCTGAGGATTTATCATTGTCATTATATAATACAGGACTGCACAATGAAACATAGTTGTAGCCTCCTCAATGCTACACACATATGAAATGTATACACAGATATTAAAATGTTTAAATTAGAACAGAATATAAATGATGAAACGGGCAATAACAACAGAACAAACTATAGAGGTAGCACTCTTCACTGACACATTACTTACTTGACCAGTCTTCTTCAAAGCAGAAAACAAAATGGAAGGCCACCAAGATTAGCGCATGGAAGGATATTAGTGCAATATACATCTGGTGGGAAAAAAAGAGAAAAACAAAGCACTGCTTTAGTTAAGATAATAATAAAACAAACTTATCTCAAATTTAATAATTAATCTAATTATCTAAATTAGGGTTGCACATGTGTTGAGATACATACAGTAAATATATATAGTGTAATAGACAAGTACAGATGTGAGGTGTGTGGACAACCCTGTAGTTGATGTGAGAATGAGCCTGTTGCTGTGAATACTGACATCGTTTTTTCTGCTACTGGGGACAGTAACTGCAAAGAAACTACACTGACACTCTTTAGTAACTGGGGATAGCTACTGATAGCTACTGGGGAAACTAAAGTGCTATCCTCTTCCTGTTTTGGTTGCACAATAGAAGACGCACTTCCTCTGTGCCGTGAACCGAGCCTGTATCTTCCCGGGAGATCATACCCGGTGGCAGACTGAATTGCAGAGTGAAAGTGAGGCATGTTCTGTGTTCTCTTGTACTGGTTTATTTCAAAAACTGTGTAAACAATCACAAGCTTCAACAAACATGTAATATATATATATATATATATATATATATATATATATATATAAAAAATGATGACATCACCATTTCTGCCTGGTATTATATGGGGTACCGTGTTTCAAGACTCACCGTGAAGAGCACAAAGTATTTCTGGTTGTTCTCTCCGACACAGTTGTTCACCCAGGGGCAGTGGTGGTCCATCTTTTTGATGCAGCGTTTACACACACTGTGGACACACAAATAAATCAGAAAGGTGATGAAATGAAATCAATATATAACAGGGAAACGGTGACCTTCTGAAGCAAAAGACCAATCTGAATAGAGAGTATTTTTTATCTATTAACAGAGGAAATAAACACAAAAAACAACACACACAACCCGTCTGTCCACCTTTAGCAGCATGTTGACACTGACTGATGGGAGAGACTGGAACAGACTGCTCTCAGCCATGGTGACTGGACTGTGTCTGTGTGTGTGTGTGTGTGTGTGTGTGTGAGAGGGGGGTTATTTATCTGGCAGAACTGCAGCTGGTTGACAACTCAAGTAAGGTCTAACATCTCACAATCTATCATCTGACAAAGCGGAAAGTCACACTCTGTCTATCCGTGCGCTTTGTTTACACACTTTCTGAGCGGGCTCTATATTTAAAAAGCTGCCGTCTTATGCGTAATATATTATTCTTTCAGGTCATTAGAGACAAGTGTATCATCGCAGTGTATTATCTGAACCACCCACAAGAATGACTCATAAAAAATATCATCTATTTCATTCAAACTGACACCCAGTTTTCCCTCTGAGACAGAATGACTCACTGGTTTTACAATTCAATTATGCTGCCGTGTTTTTGTGCTTTTCATGCCTTGAGATCCCCAGGAAACCACTGAGCAACCGCACAGGGAACTCCTTAACATCAAGGTGCAAAGTCTGCAGGGAAAAGCTACAGAGTGACTCTAAATAAAACACACACAGGGGGAGGCAGGAGAACCACTGGTGCAGGAACAAACACAGAAGAGGAGGGGAGAGTCCCCAGTGAAGACTTTAAGGTGCAGACTTCAGCAGAACACTCCAGTCACCCAGACCCACATCCTAAAAGATGCAGAGTTTGTATTCCTCCCTACAGTCTCCACATTCACACAGGGAGTGCTGTACCTGCAGTGGTGAGCTCTGTCAGGCTTGATGCTGCAGCACTTGGGACATTTGTACACCACCTGTCCTGGTTTGAGCTGCAGGCTTTCGATGAATTCTTTGGTAGCGTTCCCTTTAGGCACGGCCCCCTGAGAGAGTGGGAGAGAGAGAGAGAGAGAGAGAGAGAGAGAGAGAGAGAGAGAGAGAGAAGTTGTTTCAGATGCTGCAGATGTTTTGCAGTGTGTCTTTGCCATTAATTTAGCTGCAGGAGCTCCTTAAGCATGTACATTTGTCCTCACACCAAAAAAAAACACTTTAAGAAAAATGTATGTTTTGGTGTTATCACTCAACTTGTTTAAAACTTAAAAACTACAACAAAACATAAAAATCAAGCCATCACAATCAGGACACGATTAAGCCATTAGGTGGCCCCAAGTCAAAAACAAGCTGTGGGCCCCAGCTGATACTGGAATGACCTTAACCCAGAAACCAACCAGTGTTTCTATGCCAGAGTACCACCCTACCCCAGGTTATCTGCATGTCATTTTAGTCTAAGATTATATGATTTAAAACCATTTCTTTTAAAAGGATTTATGATCCATGTGAGGATACAATCAACTAAAATAATAAAAGGTATTAAATTAAATGTAGCAGTTTATTTTAAAAAGTATAATTTTTTTTCATTCTATTGTACATGTAAACTTCAGCAAGTAAATTGGTAATGCTTATCTAATGTAGCATCTTTTACAGAGCAAGGTCACAAAGTTGCTTTTAAAATTAACACCATTAAACTGTTATAGTTTGTCATTTTCTACGCAGAATATGATGCTGCTGAAATAAAAGTCAGAGAGACTGACTAGCATGAGATGTGCATTGTTTTTGGAAATATGTCTCATGATATACAGTCTGTAGAAGTGCATGATTTCCCTTTATTACTATGTTCTAGTGTTAAATAAGTTACTCCGTAATATCGAATCATAACACACTGAACTGGCACGAAGGTATAGTGATGTATTGAACTGGGAGGTTAGCATATTGGCCCAGTCCTAGTAATTAGAGTACAAAGATGTATTGCAGCATTCAGTTTTTTTCTAATCTAATAAGAGTTTGACTGACCGGGTCTGTGCACATCGCCTTAGCATGAGAGGCGAGGGCGAGGAAAGCGAGGCCGTTGAAGATCACCCCGTTGAAGAAGCTGTAGACCACGTTCTTGGCAGGCAGCAGCATGACAAACACCACCACAAACTCGGCGTAGAAGACCAGAAACCAGGTGATGACGCCACACACGATACCGCAGCCATCGCGGATGAACCACATGGTGTCTGAGCCAGTGCGTGGCGGGGGAGGGGCGCAGTGTTCAGGCCTCAGGTAGCCAGCTTGCCTCTCGATGTCCCTGGTGCGGTGCGCCGGGCTCTTCATCCTACAACGCCCGTGGCTCCAACCGCATGCTGCTAGGAGCGACGAGGGACAGATGGACAGGAAGAGGGGGAGCAGAGAGATGGGACGAAAATAAAAGAAAGGAGTTAGAGAATTAGGCGAGGGATTTGGATGAGGGAAGGTAATTGCGTAGGGCTGCAACTGTATTTCACTAACACTTCATCTGCTGATTGATTTTTCGATTAACTGATTGGTCTATAAAATGTCAGAAAACAGTGAAAAATGCACTTCATAGTTTAAAATGTATTATTTTTTTTCTGAGTTACAATCATAAACCCCTAAATTATAGATTTGCTATCATGTAAGACAATGAAGAACTGCTAATCCTCACAGAACAGAAGCTGGAATATATGGAAGCCCATTCCTGCCAGTGTGATTAACAGAAAAAACAAAACGATCCTGTAAGCCATTACAATAACTAACTTCCTCAAAATAATAAGCAAGTATCTCATAATAATAAGTAACAATACTAACTAATTATTTTGAGAAAGTTTCTTATTATTGTGGGATACTAACTCATTATTATAGGATACTTATTTATTATTTTAGGATACTACTTCATTATTTTAAGATACTAACTCATTATTTTAGGATACTAATTCATTATTTTAGGATACTAACTCATTATTTTAGGATACTAAATCATTATTTTAGGATACTAATTCATTATTTTAAGATACTAACTCATTATTTTAGGATATTAATTCATTATTTTAGGATACTAACTCATTATTATAGGATACTAATATATTATTTTAGGATACTACTTCATTATTTTAAGATACTAACTCATTTTAGGATACTAATTCATTATTTTATGATACTAACTCATTATTTTAGGATACTAATTCATTATTTTAGGATACTAAATTGTTTAAAGATACTAACTCATTATTTTAGGATACTAATTTATTATTTTAGGATACTAACTCATTATTTTAGGATACTACTTCATTATTTTAAGATATTAACTCATTATTTTAGGATACTAATTCATTATTTTAGGATACTAACTCATTATTTTAGGATACTAATTCATTGTTTTAGGATACTAACTCATTATTTTAGGATACTAATTCATTATTTTAGGATACTAAATTGTTTTAAGATACTAACTCATTATTTTAGGATACTAATTTATTATTTTAGGATACTAACTCATTATTTTAGGATACCAATTCATTATTTTAGGATACCACTTCATTATTTTAAGATACTAACTCATTATTTTAGGATACTAAATCATTATTTTAGGATACTAACTCATTATTTTAGGATACTAATTCATTATTTTAGGATACTAACTCATTATTTTAGGATACTACTTCATTATTTTAAGATATTAACTCATTATTTTAGGATACTAACTCACTATTTTAGGATACTACTTCATTATTTTAGGATACTACTTCATTATTTTAAGACACTAACTCACTATTTTAGGATACTACTTCATTATTTTAGGATACTAACTCATTATTGTATGACACTACATTATTTTAAGATACTAACTACTTATTTTAGGATTATTCCAGGACACTAACTCATTAGTTAGGGATACTAACTCTTATTCTTTTTAGGATAAGAGCTTATTATTTTAGGATACCTACTCATATTGGGATACTACCTCATTATTTTGGGATGCTAACTAAATTTTTCGTATACTAACTTGTAATTTTAGGATACCTACTCATTATTTTGAGAATGTTTCTCATTATAATGACTCACACTATCTTTTTTTCATCAAACTGGTAAAAATGAGTTTCAACAATAATGAAGAACATGTTTGATACTTTTCAATTTAAAATGCCTTAAATAATTGATTGGTCAGTTCTTACAATACAATAGTTATAGTTATAAGTAGTACATTATAGAAGTACTACCTATAATGACAGGAACCATCTTGAGAAGAAAATGTATTTGACCTGTACTTTGATCTTTTAGTTTGGCCCATGTCCCATCCATTTACATAGAGGAGGCAGGGTTTATGACCTATACTGCAGCCAGCCACCAGGGAGCAAGCGAGATGTTTTAGCTTCACTTTTGGGGAGCTGTCATATCATCCATCTTTATTTTACAGTCCATGGACCACAACCATCTCGAACTTGGCCTTCATGTGATTTCAAGTACACACCCATAATAGGTTCGTTCGAGATGAGCCAGTCCTGCGCAGATTCGATCGCCGGCGATCGGCGCACAATGCATGCCGGTTAGTTTTGTGTCCGACTTCATCCCGACTTGCTCTGACGTATTACAAAAGTGGACGGCGATAAAGCCGCGAGAGCGAGGCGGCCGCAGTTTTTAGAGCCAGGCGCTGCAGTTGCTCTCCTACGACTGCACCGCCTGGCTCTCACCTGATCTAAAAGCTCATTGGTTCAGATGTCGACTCAACAAGATGAGGTTTTAGATAAACTACTCATTTTTGTTGAATTTTAGAGATTAAGATTGTATTTGTCTGATCTAAAGGTTTATTCTGTGAACAGAAAACATGTTGTGTGACTGATGGTGAAAACAAACTGATATATGGGTCTGATCACTTTTTTAATGAATTGACATCATTCCAGACAGGATGTTAGTGTGTCTGGACTGAAGGCTGCTGGAAACTGTCGGGAAACTGTCCGACTTCACCGCAGCTTTTTGTCACCGCCCCCCCGCTGTGGCCGCCTGCTCTCATCTACTTTTCAGGCGAGGCGCAGTTCATCTCGAACAAGCCTAATGTTTTGTGACTGCATCTTGCACAGCTGTGATGTTAACGCGTTGACAAAATCTGTCCACAGACAGACAGAGAGACACCTAAACACCTGGCAGAGTTCTCAAAACTACTTCCTGCTACGAGAGGTGTCTCCTGGACCACATATTGCCATGATGACACAGACAGACTCATGAAAACAATATCAGCCCTGCTGTCACAGCGGGTATTAAGTCCACAGAGTGACTCAGCAAATGAGCTTTAGGACAACACTCAGGAGGAGGTATTAACTGAAGGAGGAGCAAAAAGTGACTGGTCTAATCCCAACAGGCCAAACAATCCACCCAGAGTCATCTCACAGGGAAAAGAAAAGACTGTTGTTGGATTTGGAGACTGTAATTCACCATTTGGCCCTAGAAGTGAATCAAAATGAAACAATGCTTCAACAAAACCTCCACAGCTGTCCTGAGCTGCACTGGGCCTGAGTGTGTCCGAGGCTTATGAATAAGCAATTGAGCAGGTCTGAGTGTGTGTGTAGACAAAGATAATGTGACTTCAAAGGGGATAAAATGTCAGAAAACCAAGAATAGACCTGACTATTATATTCAGATAACAAAGACTGGAATAAAAAAGAAAATTCCTAGAGGATGGCTGGACCTCAGTAAAACCTGGGCTTCTATTGAGTGAAATCAAACTGCTTGGTCATTCCTCTATCCCTTAGGCTTAACTGAGCGATATCCTAATCTTTACTTTTATGTCCGTATTAATTAGGGCTTGCCCAATGATCCTTGCAATTAAACATGCTTTTTCCTCAGGACAGGAATTTAATCAGAATGAAAACGATATGGCGTTCCTACGACACGTTTGGGATTAAAATTAATCAACGCCATCTCTGGATTATACTAAAACTTCATATGGTCCATTACAGCACAAATTCAGACCACTAACCAGACCCCTATATTTCTATGTATGCTTCCAATTCCCCAGCCAGCACCACACCCACCTGGCCTCTAACTCACCATACATTTAAAGGTCAACCTGTTGAAGACATCAACCCTTCAGTGTTACATCACCAAACACTTTTATTTCATTACTTCATCTCAGCCTGTGAGTCTTTTGTAAGTGGGAAATAGACTACTGTGCTTTTTTGTCTTCATGTGTTGGACTTTGTTTAATTCAAACTGAATACAAAACAGTGTATTTGTTCTGGACTGCCTTCTACAATGAAATAATAATCTCTTGAAATGCTGTATTTTCTCAGAGTTTACTTTGATCCTTTTTAGCCGTGCCAAATGCTGGATAGACCAATAAACTGGCGCAGGAAATTGAAAGGAAGTGGCAAGTGTCAGACACCAATTAGGCCAGTGTCCTCAGCACAGTCAATGACCCTCGCTTCAGGCAATTAAATTGGCTATCCAACTAGGAAAAGGTGAGGCAGATGTGGACGATTATTCGCAGCTGGCAACTCAACTAAACTAATCCGCTTGCTGAGTTATTAACCCTCTGGAGTCCACGGACGCACCAGTGCATCCACATCACATGACCGATTTAAGATAACGTAGCAGCAAGACGCAGCCTCGCTGAATCGCCGTTTCAACTTGTGTCAAAAGTGCAAACTTCAAACTATATACCAGGTTTAAATTGTGTTGATAGGCCAAGTAAAACCAGACTTATGATAAATACTTTACGCCATGCTTCTTCCTGAATATTGTCGTCATGTTTGGGGCATGTTTGGTGCTGGAAGAAACGGTAAAAACGGGCTATTTCAAGGAAAGAGCTTGCAAGCAGAAAGTGCTTGCAAGCAAAAAAAAAGGTCCAATGTGTTAATATAGTATGTCAAAAAACAAAACAAAACTGTAAAGTCACACAGGTGAGGTTGTGCTGAAAAAAATGCCCCCAAACAAAAGGTACAATCAAAAGTCAAAGGGTAATAAGTTAAAGAAACATTGCATGAAATAGTTCACCTTGTCACTTCTCCTCCCTCTCTCTATCACTCGCTTTCTCACACTCACACAGCAGCACTAAGTCCTACTAAAGTAGGGATGGGTTCGGATGGTCCGAGTACGTACTGTCGACGCTTCAAATTTTCACTAGTAATTATCACTAAAGCTTCGAAGCCCCATAAATTGTATTCGGGACAGCCCTAACTGTGAGTTTTTCAAAGTGTGGTAATAAAACACTATATTGAAGATAATTCAGATTTAAAAATAATACTAATGGTCGGGAATTTTACCACAAACTATAGTAAAGCTGGTAACCTTCTCATCCCTATCTGTGATTCTGAGTAAATGAATGAATTGCCATGAAATTTGGTACCAAATATTTGCAAAACTGTACTTTGTTCTAATAAGCAAATATTACAAACACACTAAACATCGGCATGTTAGCATTGTCATTGTGCGCACGTTAGCATGCTGATGTTAGCATTGAGCTCAAAGCCCCAGTGTGCCCATAGTAGCAAGACTCTGTTAGTGGAGGTGGTCTTTGTTTCAGGCAATTTTCAAAGCCTGACCCGGAGCCTTTTGTTCTACAGTGGGAAAACAAATACGTGGATAACAAAGATGATACAGTAACACAGTGGGCACAAGATGTCTTTGAATTAATGCATGATGAATACAGGGTGTAGTTTAAAACCATTCTGGCAAACATTTCCACTGTTCAGTTTTTAACAACATGAATTTATCCGTCTATGTGACGGCAAACATTCCAGCAGTCCAACTCTGGAAACAATAAGGGAGACGGGAGCATTGTCTTGATAAAAAAAAAATGTACTTCCTGGTTTTAATGCCTATTTTGAAAAATCCAGTATGACCGACTTCAACCCTGCGGCGTGGCCTCTTGACCCTTTTCAGCACCCCTGTCATCACGCAGTAGGACTCAGGCGCAGTGGGAGGTCATGTTGGAGGTCTGGTGTATCTGCCTGTATTACTTTCACTAGAAGTCTGGGATTACAGCACCATCTGTCTCAGCTTCAGCGGTGGTAAACAGTAACAGTGAGAGTATTTGCACACATTTACACTTTTCACACTTCAGTACAATTTGAGATGCTTCCAGTGTGTCATTAAATAGATCGGGTCTCAATGAGGAGGTATACGTCATGTTGGTGATTTGTCTTTTGTTAGACGCTTCCCTGTTTTTCCTCATAGCCTGTTTAAACCTATATATGAATCTATATCTTCCATCTATTATGTATATATTTTTCTGTGTAATCTCATCTCATGTTATTATCTATTTTCATTATTTTCAATTTGACTCATCAGTCATGTTATTATCTGGGTCATGTGATTGCCTCCCATTGGCTGCTGCTGCTTTTAAAAGGTCAGGCCACTATTGTTGTTTGTCTTTAAAGCCCTGACGAAGACCTACAGTGGTTGAAACATGTTGGCTCTTTTGATGATTCAGCCACTGCAATAAAGGCTTTTTAATATTTCCTTCCTCTTTGATATGTTTTTGGTGAGCCTTCTTCTTCTATGTTTGATTAAAAAGAGCAAACAGTTATCTCTTCTTCCTGTCATTGAATAGAGTTGACATTACTGTTATTTGTCTATAAAGCTCTGAATGTTCAAGGGTCTGCAAAACACTCGCTGACTCTCTTTTGCAGTATGAACCCTCTCAGGTCATCTATTAGCATCATGCTAACTGTTCTCAGAGCTCAAACTAAACCTGGAGAAGCAGCATTTAGCTACCTAGCTCCAACACTGACCCCCTTAAATCCAGGTTTATGCTCCCCACTGTATTTGACTGCACTGAAACTGAACATCTTTACTTATCTAATATTCATTTTGTGTGAATGCTTTCTAATGTTTGAGTGGTATTTAAATGTTTTAGGCTTCATTCCTTTTAAATGTTTTAATGTAAAGCACTTTTGTGTATGATACATGACTACAAATGAACTTGCCATGTTTTATATTTATGGCAGCAAAAGTATAGTTTGTGAAAACTATGTAGATTAAGATCTTACTTTGAAAAAAGATGTGATGCTTTATTAACATAAAACTGACAGTATACTGTAGGTAGAGATGGGCAATATGGAGAATATAGCTGCTGTCTGACGGCTATGCAGCACCCACTAATAGCGGGCGGCTGCATGGCAGTTGTACGGCCTTGTACATGAATAAAACACTCATTGGTTTAACAGACTAATATTTCCGGTGCCGACTAGCGATGGGGCGGACGTTTAATCGTTTAGACAGATAACCGCACACACTAGTTATAAATGTCTCATTCTTTGCTAACAAAAACCAGACGACTCTTATTTCCAGGTGATTATACACTCAACATATCCCCCTAAATTCTACACACTGGACCTTTAAAACCAGGAAAGACAACATTTACAATATTACAATATCCAAAATCTAAAATATCTAGTCTCATATCAGAGATATAATATTGATTTATTGCCGAGCTCTGACTGTAGATGAAATCAGCTCCACCTTTACAAACTACAACATTTACATGTTGCTTAAATGTTAATTTGTAAGTAAAAATAAGAAGAGAAAACAACATCTTAAAAGGGAGAGTCAATTAATTTCTTGCATCCAATTAAGGACATTTGTGTGAATGATACAATACCTACGAATAAAAATTAACATCCTCAGACCTACTTGCCTTTTTATCTTAACTACAAGTCACTGTATGGTTAAATATTTTCATTTAAAGATCTTGTAAAAAAAAAATCCTTGTTAAACAGGTTCTAACTGCTGCTGATTCATGTGACTGTTTATCAGGACCTGTATCTGATTCAGCTGGTGGGAGCAGCCCATTTCAAGAAAAACTCGTTCCAGTGAGGGGGACGCACGACACCTGATAATGGCTTGCAATGGAATTGTTAATGTGGACTGCCTTAACGTTTCACTCCATTAGAAATAAAAGAAGCTGAGATGGCCCCGAAAACTGTGTTTATTGAAAGTGGAGATGACTGGACAAGATGGGACTTCTTACTAATGAAAGACCTGGAGTGAAACTAACTGCAAAACCAGACTTCATTAACATCAACTAAGTAAATGGTTTCTTTTTTTGTAGAATGGATAATGAGACTTCTTTCAGTGAATAGAACTTTTTTTTTTACAATGAAAACAACTGAATGACTTGAATGTGACAGAAACACTTTAGAGAACAACCCCTTTTCTCTTATATCGACCCAAACAAACATGTTTCTGTATTGAGAAGCCACCACAATGCATCTGCAGTACTGTAAGACTAGATACAGTATGCCAAAAAGGCCAGATTCATACTGTAACAGTGACTCCCTGACTCAAAATGTATGCAGGGCACAGTCAGATATTCAATAAATGATTTATGGGTATGTTTCATACTCCACTGCTCGAATGCATTTCAAAGTAACTGACAGCACTGACTGATGGTGGCAACTAATGTGTGCAGGCAGGATGAGAAGCACAAAGAGAGAAGAGATGTAGAGATGAGAGGCAGCGAGATTTGACCCCCTGCTGAGTTAATTAACACTCTAATGTGATTTCACTTTACTGATAAACTCCTCCGGCAACTTATAAAACAAAGATTGAAGGACTCGAGACTTTTAATTTCACTCAGATTAGTTTTAGAAACACATTTTGAGAGCTTGATTTTAGTGTTCAGAAATCTGTGAAACTGGAGATTTAACTAAAACTTAATACAAATATACACAACAGCAAGGGCGTATATGATACAGGGGGCTTGGGTGTTCTCCACCAGATAATTTTGAGCATCAAACACCTAATTTCCTGCATTCTGGTTAACTTTTGTGCACCAATTTGAGCCTTTTCTGCATCAATTTATGGTGTTAATGCCTTTTATTTTGTCAAAATAAATGTCCTCTGCTACTTCCATGTTTTAATTGGGGAGAACAGATTCACATGTTCTAAATATTGAGGGTGAAGTTCCCTGCATCCCCCCAAAATCTTCACCTGTGCACAACAGTTTCTCCTCACAGCTTTCAGGATTTACTACTGTGTCTGAATACTATGGAGGCCACATTTTTTCAGCAGCTATCAAAATAAAAAATGTGCAAATATATGATGAGATACAGTGTCTGCAGTTGTAAATTTAACTGAAACTCCCAACTGGGTCACAGAATCAGATGGGTCACAAAATTTACCGCAACTACAGGAAGTAAACTAGTAACCTGTGTGAACCTTCAACTTGACATCCACTCCTCTGAGTTTGGATTATTTGGTGGCGAATAACAGACATACACAAAATGTTTTGTGACAACTTAATGGAGCTGAAACACTTAATTTACAATTAACAATAAATCTGAAAATTAATCTGCAACTATTTCAATAATTGATTCCTGTTTAAAGTCATTTTTTCCAGACAAAAATCCCAAATGTGATCCGATACAGTCTTAAGTTGCAGTTTCACTTGAGCTGACGATCAGTTATTTTTGTTTGAAGCATAGGGAGCACTTATGAATATTGTATAGTTAGTCGTCATGGGAGAGTGTGTAAAGCTGCCAATATGTAAACATAAGAAGCTGCAATAAGAATATTTTAATATTTTAATACTTTTCCATGAAAAATGACTCAAACCGATTAGTCGACTGCACAAAAATAGTCACCAATTACTTTAATAGTCGATAAGTCATCGATTAGTCGACTAATCGTTGCAGCCCTACTTGAAACGAATAAACAGTTATAAAAACTGTTGCCAGTTAGTTTTCTATCAATCAACCAAGTCATGATTTGACACTCAGCAGCACAGATGGCAACTCTCGATCAGTGGAGACGTGTTTCTGGCCCAAACTTCATTCACTTCTAACTCAAATATGGTCTCACGTAACCTCTGATAACAACGATCTGGGTCTTTACCTTACTAGATGTTTGACATTGTAATAATTCTACTCTTAATAAAAGTATAATGGTAGAAAACAGAGGGAAGTAAATCTGGCCACTTGGTATACACTCTGTTAAAGCTTGTTTGATTGTTATTAATCATTAGTGGAGGATAAATAAAACCCAAACTAATACATGTTGGTAAATGTTAAAGGTAACAGTTAAAATCTATGAAGTGACCATGGCTAGCTAAATTGACCTCTGACCTCCCTGAAGATGAGCTGAGCGTAAAGGGAAATTATCCTCTCACAACCAGTGAAGCCTATACAGTTATTATGACACTACAGGGCTATGATTTACTAAGTTCTAGAAAGTGATAAAGCAATTAAACTGACCGGGAGGAAGTGAGTGTGACAGCTGGAGCATATCTGGACATCCATTAGTTGATAGCTGATAACAACCACACAGTGTAAAGTATTTCAAGAGTAAAGCGTCCACTGGTATTTAAAAACAACATACCTCACACTCTCCTGGTTTGTCGACACGAGTTTCTTCGAGTCCTCACGTAGTTTGGAGCCTTATGTGAAGTTAAAATCACCTAAACCGAGTGTCTCCTCCGCCGCTCCGTCTGTTAGCGCAATCCCAGCTAACCTCACTGATATGCGGCCAGATGTAGCTCCGCGGCTCCGCTGCCGTTTTCACCGCCGCCTCGGTTTCAACGAGGTGTTAATTCACCTTGTTCCTATGGTAATTACAGCAGGGGACCGAGCCTTTACACAGGCCGTGGCCAAACGTTCCGGTGTTTCCTCTTCTGTTGGACCAGAAAGCTGTGCGGCCAGCAGGGCAGCACCAGCACTACAAAGCAGAGCCAACCAGGAAGTCCGATACTCTGTGACGTGGGCGTCCTGCCCTGAGCACGGTCTACCAGGTAGCAGCCGTTAGAGCAGTTATAGCATATTGCTCAACATCATTTAGGAAAACAAGTTTTTAATTGCTAAATTGCATTTTTTTTGTGCCAAAAATCGTTATAAATTTATTATAAAAATATCTCCTCTTTTTTTTTTTTTAAGAAACCAAATATCACCTCCCCCTAAAAAATATGAGCATATGAGCAACACTTCATTTCTGTATTCTGGTGAATTTTTATGCACCGGTTTGTGCCTTTTCTGCATCAGTTTGTGGGGGTGTGTTTATTTATATAACAGAAAATGTACAATTCAGGCACCTGGTGACAATTCAGCATGTAATGGAAAATAACGTAGTATGGTTCTCGGCCATCTTTATCACTTTCAAATATTTATTCCCCTGTCAATCAGCTTTTCCTAATTAATGTTAGCCTATTCCTGCTAATTCAGCACATGTTAGGATTTAATCTTCATACCTCTTTTGTGCCTTTTGCTCAGGTAACTTCTTTAAATGTGTATGTGGCACCCATGTCAGTGATGCGGAAATAAAATCATTTCAATTCATTCATAAAACCCTGGATTTTATCTGGCCAAATGTGTTTCAGCAACATTCTTGCTCATGTTCAATATTTTTTGCACATTTTGAAGAAAAAGTCATGATTAAATGAAAGGAAAGTCATGATGCTTTAAAATCTACCTTCCCTACAGTCTGCTCAGTTATACACTGTCTGCATTTTGGGATTGATTTGTCTCTTTGGGATGCAGAAACATGCTACTGGGGATTTTTTTGTAAATATTCTCAGTTAAATTGACATGTGACTATCTTAGCTCCAGTTCATTTCATGTTTTATTGCATTTAAGTCACAGAGCCAAGTCTCAATTTTTCTGCCGCCCTTTGAAAGACATAAAATGTCTTTCAGCAACACTTACCATCATGGCTAGATTAAGCTGTTAGAAGGCCCCTGGGACAAACAAAAAACTGCTGCTGGGCCCCTTGTTTCTTCTGCTATCTCTGTAATTTATACTATTTTAAGAATACAGCAGTTTTATTTGTGGAAATATAGATCAAATAAACATAAAACTGACATAACAGGCTGTTTATACACCAGATTCTGGACACAGCTGTGGCCCCAGGGCACCTCTCCTCAAGAGGGCCTCTAAGGAAAAAAACAAGCAGGACCCACCTTAAAGCCTTTATCATGCTGGTTGATATTGTGCTCTAGTGGTGCATATAACTAAATAGATTTTCTGTCTAATTAGCACCAAAACAGTTGACACACCCATTGCAGCCTGTCGCTATAGGGGCCCCAGGGTCCAAGGACAGTTACCTGCTTTGCCTTTAGCAACCCAGCCTCACAGATCATGTAATTACCATGAATTAATTCCCAAACTGTGTTGGCATGGGAGGGGGACTCAGGGATCTTTGGCAATTAGTTATCTATGTTGCTTTTTTTATTCTCTCTGACCCAAGTGTCCATTCATCATGACAACTTTCCCTGAAGGGCCCAGCCTCAACTGCCTAAACAGTCAAACGCAGGGTTAAATAACATAAATATCAACTCTAGAGTCAGTTACAGCTTATCTGAGCTGATTACAGTGGAAATATAATAACTTTTATATCTGATCCAGGGTCGGCGATAGAGAGGGGGAGCCTGGTGCATCATGAACATCAAACAGATTGAACTGACCCAACCTTTTTAAACCTTTAAAGAGTCTACATGCAGATCAAAACAATATAGGCTTTTTTTTACAGACAGAAATTCAGATTTTTATGCCAGAAAGAAAGAGTTGTGTTTTACTAAATCAAGTGAGATGTTACGTATCAAGTTGTTTACTGTATGAGTCTACAATCTGTGTTTGAGACTGGCTGCACCGGTTGGGCGGGGTCTTCCCTCTTCCGAAGGATCTCAAACTGCCGGGACATCCGGGTGAGCAAAGCGGGTTCTCTGCGTCGTTTGATGGCGTAGAAGAAGAGCGACAAACACATGCTAGCTGTGCCTTTTACACTATGGCAACAGTACAAGTTAGCGAAGCTGAAAAGGTGTACATTTTACACGGTATACGGGTACGTTTTTTTAATAACTACATGTTAACCTTAAACCTCTGTTAGTTAAGAATATTTCGTAAATGCCCTGACGGTAAAATGCGCTTTATAACGGCAGGAAGCTAGTTAGCATTAGCATGAGCTAACTGTAGTGTTGTTGATATGTTGATTGTTTAAATCAGGATGACTTACGGGTGGACGGAAGAGGCTGTGAGGACTACAGACACATGGAAATAGAGACTGATGTTGTGTCCAACACAGACGGCTCGGCCAAAGTCACTCTGGTAATGTATGATATGTACAGCAGAAGTCCTACATGTTTGCTCATTTGGTGTTTTTACTGTGAAACTTGTCATCTGTGCACCCAGAGTCAGTCATCAACACTTCAAATGCAAATACTCCTACTTGCTAGTTGTGTGTTTGAGCCTGTCTGTCTACTATCTTTTTATTGTATGCAATTCATCAAGAAGGATAAGTGATTAATATATACATACTGCTTTATAGCTGTGAATTCCCCCTGAGGATCAAGTCTTAGTGAAATAATAACATCATAATGTATATGTTTATCACATTTTGTGGCATTATTTTGAATTTGGAAAGTAACTAGCAGTCAAAGTTATCAAATAAATGAAGAAGTGTGATATTTGCATCTCAGTTCTAGAGGAGTAAATGTATAAAGTGACAGAAAATGGAAATATTCTAGTAAAGTATAGGTACCTCAAAATTACTTGGTAACCTTCAAACACTGTTGATGACCTTTTTATTGTCGGCTTTGTCTCTCTTTCAGGGGCACACAGCGGTTCTAGTTGGAATTAAGGCTGACATTGGAAAACCAAGGCCTATGGTGCCAAATGAAGGCTACCTGGAGTTCTTTGTTGACTGGTAGGTGTGTGCATGCTTTGGCTTTTTATAAACTGAGGCTTGTTTTTTATAGATTTCGCCACTGAACCAAACAGTTATGAAGACATTATACAGAGCAACTTTCAGGATATGCAATATGAAAAATATTATATTGGTGTATATACTTTTATACCATAGTATCACTATATATCATGATATACTGAATTTTCTGTAAAGTCAATCAAAATTTGTTTAAAAATGAAGGGCTGCATCCTAAATCCCTCCCTATTGGTAATATATTCGGATGCATACCCAGCCACTAGGAGGTGGTGTTGTATCATCTGTTCCCTGAGAGATAAATCTCCAACACATCCTAGTAATAATAGACTTACCAGAGAGAATATGATCATATTACCATAAATACGCAATAAATTTGAGTGGAGAAAGGTTGTGAGGTCAGCCAGTGTCACTGCTCTCCCTACTTTCCCTAAGTAAAAATAAATCTCAGGCTGATAGATATTCTGTTACCTCATTTTTTGATTGTCTTGTTTTCTCTGTCTCATCACTAGTTCAGCCAATGCAACCCCAGAGTTTGAGGGCAGAGGAGGCGAGGAGCTTGGGACAGAGCTGAGTAACACTCTCTACAAAGTCTTCAACAACAAACACAGTGTGGACCTGAGGAGTCTCTGTATCAGTGCAGGAGAACACTGCTGGGTTCTCTATGTGGATGTGCTGGTGAGTGCTAGTGTACAGTAATGTCTTCACCTTCCAACATTCATGCAGTGATTTTTGCAGGTGTGCCTTTGTTTTAAAGCTTACCCCTGCCTTTATGATTTTTGCTCAAATTGACATAAGTTTAGACAAATATGAAGAGTTCACCCATTTTTTCTTTTCTTTTTTTTGCAGTTTATTTTGTTGCTGTTCTTTAACTTCTGTTCCTACTTGTATGATGAAATATTGTAACTCACCTTTGCATATAAAACACTGTTAAACTATGGTTTAGTGGAGGAAAAAAATCAAAGCGGCACCTTTTACATCAGAACATCTTGTTTGGTCTGTGTATATTTGATGCCATGCTCTTCACTAAGGTAAAATCTCACACTGACATGTCTGCACAGCTCCTGCAGTGTGATGGAAACCTGTACGATGCCATCTCAATAGCTATCAAGGCAGCTCTCTTCAACACAAAGTAAGTCAAGTGTTATAGTAGTGTTTATGATCTCTTACAGCTGTTATATTGATCATTCTTACGCAGTAAAATAAAAGCTTACAGTCTTCTCATTATCTTACTGACAGAATTCCCAGAGTGCACATATCAACGGACGAGGAAGGAGGGAAGGAAATTGAGCTGTCAGATGACCCGTATGATTGCGTGAGACTCAATGTAGAAAATGTTCCTTGTATAGTGACGTTATGCAAGGTAAGCTCACCTGCCTATTCTCAGAAGTGAAGATCTCTAAAGCCCTTCATCACACAATGCGTGACTTTGACATTGGCTGTTTTTCTGCAGGTGGGTCACAGGCACGTGGTGGACGCAACTCTGCAGGAGAAGGCCTGCTCCGTGGCGAGCCTGATCATCTCGGTGACACACAAGGGCACCATCACCTGCATGAGGAAGGTGGGCGGAGGCAGCCTGGATCCAGAGAGCATCTTTGAAATGACAGAGGTGAGTCCAGCCCTCATCCTCGGCCATCTGGCCTCCTCCAGGTTGTGAATATGAATACGTCTGAACAAATAAAGGCACTAAAGTGTTATGTTGTCTCCAGGCAGGTAAACGGGTCGGGAAGGCCCTTCATGCTCCACTCATCAAGCTGCTGCAGCAGGAGGAGAGTTTGGGAAAGACGCAACAGAAAGTTGGCTTCCTTGGTTAACATCAACTACTGTATCTACAGTATATATGTACATGTATACAAATTTTTCTAATAAAACATTTAATTTGTACAGCCCTCTTGTCTTTGTACTTAAAGTAACAGTGTGTAAGATTTAGGGGGATTTAGTGGCATGTGAAACTTCTCCAGATTAGTATTCCTTCATTGTCCAGGAGGCTTTTTTTTTACCAGGAGCATAATTATCACCAAAACAGACATGGAATAAAGCAGTTTCATTTTAAGAAAAATAAATAAATAAATAAAAAATGAGTTTATCTGATGCTTTCATGGCCCTGTCAAGAGTCACTGTTTAGTTTGTCTGTTCTGTGAAACTGTAGAAACAGCGGTGCAAGATGGCCATCTCAAAAACACAAGGATACTTATTTATAAATGATTATAAACTAAAGAAAACATACTTGTTATATTCCATTTCTGCCAATACATCCTCCATAAATCCTACACACTGGAGCATTAAATTTAGACACACGGTCATATGGTGTCAGTGTTTTAACAATGCCAAAAAAAATATGATCTGGCTGCAAATATTTTATCTAATTTCATTTATCCATTTTTTAGTTTCCTCTTGTGAACATAACTCAAGCTTTTCTGTGTGAAAGTCCACATTTCTGATTTTATATATCTTTTGGCCTACCACTGAAACTAATAGTGTCTTTTAACTTTATACTTACCTGTTGGCAAAATGTGAATTAGCAATAACTCACTTTAATAACCGTGTTCCCACATAAAACTTATCTCTGCATGGGACTATATACATACACTCCTTACCTGAATGCTTAAGGGTGTTTTCACACTTGGTCCTCTTCTAAGACGACTCAGAGCAGTCACTCAGTATTTTTTTGCGCAAATGTGAACACTCCAAGAGAACTCAGACCCTTCTGAAGCGAACTGAACTCAGACCATGTCGGGAGGTAGTCTGAGTTCAGTTCGCTTCAAGTCTGCGGTGCGGTTCACTTAACCTGTGCCTTGTGAACACAAACCGCTCCAGGTCTGCTTTGTCTTTTGCTATTGTTTTGAAGCCCTCGAGGCTTGCTGTAGACAGATCAAACGCTATTTCAGTGGGACGAATAATAAACACAATGGAACCATGGCCACACGTAATGACAGCATGACCAGTGGACGAGGAGTACTTGTCTGATGGTGAAAAAACTGCACTCCTCCAGACATGGAAAGAGAAAACATCTAACACCAATTGTCCACAACGCACAGAAACACTAAGGTTTTATATAAAGGCTATAGTATGAACAGAAAGAGGACTGAGGCCCCATCAGAGCTGAAGTTGACTGGAAAGAGAACTAAGTCCTCATTCAAATGAACTGTAAGTGTAACGCAATAAGAACTGAGTCCCCTTTCTGTCAGTCCACTCTTTGGTCCACTTAAAGAGGACTGAATTTGGTTCATTTAAAAAGGACTAAGTGTGAAAACACTCGAAGTGAAAAAAGTTGATTGAAAAATGTCTTAAATTTGTTAAAAAATGATCTTAAAGGTCTTAAAAAGCATTTAAATTCAAGTGTCTGATAAAGATGCAGCCACCCAGAGTTTCCCCTCCCAACCAAAGGCCTTTCAGGTGCCAGTCAGTTCCCAGCCAATTACCAGTCTCCTGACAGGGCATGTCTAGATTCCACTGTGATCTCACACAATCTCATCCCAGCCAAGCAGCAGTCAAAGACCGGACAATGTGCCAGCAGGGATCCACCATGGATCTGCCTGGGCCCCATAACAGAGCAATAGGAAATTCTAGGTGGCTGCATCTGTACCTGCAGACACCGGGAGATACATTTTATGGTAACAATAACAAAGTAAGCTAAGGATCTTAAGGTAGGCACAGAGGAGGCTATACGCAGGTGTACAGGTTATACCCGCCTCTTCTTTTGGCCCATAACAGTATACCCACCTGTCATCCACAAAAATCACTGGAATTTATAGGAAAGTATACCCACTTCCTCCTCGGTAACCTACCCATTTACATGGTAGTACACCCACCTCATCAGCTACTATTAAACCTCTAGATATTACAGATATCAATTCACACAAAATCAAATAGGTCCATCAGTAATAATGCTCAACAGTATTTTTTGTGCCACACTCACCAAGCTTGAGTTCATTATTTTCATTATTTATTTTCAAAACAAAATCATATCAAAATATTCTGAACTGTACTGTCAGGACAGCAGTCTCTCTGCATCCTTTTGTCTCTGCCACGTGTCAGTCTAAGGCTACAGAAAGACCAGATGTGACTCTGGATCATTCCACTCTTCCCACAGACATGCTGTAGGGTGTGTGTGCTGGCTGGGAGCAGACATATGGAGTAGACAGGTCCAAAACAAACTCAAATTGCAGATTTTGAAGCAAAAAAAAAAAAAACATACTCAGAGAATGGTTTGTGAAGATATACACATTTCAAAATAAGGGGTGACATTGCAAGTGCCTTTACAGCTGCATAAGAGACTTCACATGTAATGATGAATGAGTTTTTCATTTCAGTTTCTTCCTGCTGCCAAAAACACCTGGAAATATTTAAATCTTTCCAAATGAGGCCATAACTAAAGGTTTCCAAAACACCTACTGGCCAACTGTTAGGAAAGAAAGTCTTACTCCATCTCTTTTTTCTCATCCTGAGAGCCAAGAAATAAACTGTAACCAAGTTATTTAAGCATTTGTGCAACACATGAGTCAGTGTTGTTTATTTCTTTTTTATAGTATACTTTGATGAAAGCTGCACAGGGTTATTACATCATAACTGTTTTACACTGTCTGCCAGTCTCCACCTGCTTTCCAGGCCTGGTCTGGTTTGTACTGGCCCTCCACGTTAAGCATCTGGAGCCAGATGAAACACACACACACACACACACACACACACACACACACACCATCCTTTAAGGCTCCTGAGGTTGGATTGTTATTCCTGCAAATGGCAGTTTTGGAGCTCAGTATTTTTCCCTGTTTGGAGAGATGAGAGGGAGGGCGTGGGAGGGTGCGGATAAATTGCAAGCATCCACGTTGGAGCAGCCTCATTCAACAGGTCTCACCATGGAGTTCAAAGGAGTGTGCGTGCTGCTGGGAGTACTGCTACTGGTGAACTGCTCGTTTCAACAGACTCCACCAAAGAAGAAGCTAATAAAGAAAGGTAGACACCTGGTCCATCACAAATGATTTCAATATCATATCTGTGTTATGGGATGTTTATTTCAACAGCATGTTTTCTATGTAATCATGCTCAGATCTCCTTGAAAAAGGAAATAATTGAAATATAAACAACCTGATTTGAATTTCCTTGCGTCTCCACTGTTTTTGGAATCAGATACGGCAAGGGATTCTGCCATTGAGGACTTACAGAAACAAATCAATGACATCGTCCAGGAGCTCAACCTACTGAAGGAACAACAAGCCCTGCAGACAGGTAAGCTGGACTTTTGAGCAGCTGGATCATAAATTGGATCTTGTTCTTAATATTAATCACCCTGAGAAGGCCTCTAACAGTCTCCTAACACCAGGACTTGACAGAATCTGGGTTCAGACAAAGACTTAATTACCAACTGGGCAAAAGAAGCAACTGCCCCCAAAAATCAATGACTCGATTGTGCATAATGTAAGAGACTGCAAATGTTTTAAAGGAATTTGCTAAAGCAGATAATCAACCCAGGTAGGTCCAGCCATATTAAGTAGTCTTATGGCCCTGTCTGTACCAGGCACTGGCTCAGGGGCCCCGGCAAATCAGGGACCCCTCTGTCGTATACATGCAAAATATCTCTCAAATTGACATGTACCGACCAGGAAGAGACTCAAAATGACTACAGAGAGACAAACAGATCACACCGAGATGAAAAGGAACTGCAAAGAGACACAAAATAACTACACGCAATCATAAAGAGACAATAGGTGTCAGGGACCACTCTGGCCTTCACCTGCAAAATGTCACTCAAATTAACACATACCAACCACAAGGAGACACAAAATCACAACAAAGAGACACAAACAATTAAATATAGACAGAAAAAAACACAAGCAGACTGTTGGTCATGTGTCAAACTTAACGTTACAAATGGCCAGAAAACAGGGTTAGTAAACAGAATAAAGCAGCATGGAGGCCAGTGTTAATGTAACCATGATTACTTCTTTTATATATATCTCTTATTTATTCAGTCACTCTTTAAAACTTGGTGCAGACTACTTTGTAATGATGACCAAGCATGGCTTGGATGGAGGTGAACAGAATTTGCGGCTGAGATGACAAAGAGTCACAGAAGCTACGGATGGTCGCACTGGGAAAGGGGCGAAAATACTGTGTCAACCCAAGTGTCATGTTTCCATCATTGTCGATCAAAGCTGGGGCCGATAAATATTTGTAACTACTGCAGAATATGTATATGAATGCTGATTATAACCTTTCCCATTAAAGACAAATTCAAATGTTAGTGATTGTTTGTGTTTTATTTATTTATTGTGTTGGAAAGGGACCTTAGAGAAAAGGCATAGTTATTTTATATTGTTTACTTACGTGGCATATTCCTAAATATAGTTGAATCAAATTACCATGCAGTCACTGAAGCACAGAAAGCCCAGGGCCAGGCGACAAGTATAGGGTCGACAGGGGCCCAACATCAATTTTTTGCCCCAGGGGCCCCTTATTAAGTTATTCCAGCCATGGTTAGACTTGCAATTTGGCCAGGTTTAAACCCCTGCACCAGTAAACAGCTACCTTCTACCCCTAAATGAACTCCTTTCAGCCTTAGACATGCAATTCTGTGTCTGAACCTACTTTATGATCACCTGTGGAAGCAGGCAAGCAGCCATTAGTGTCACAGTGGTAATAAGTGGATTACAATGTGGACATTTTAAAGGGCTTGCTTAAGGGGGAATTATTGATAGCATGACAAGAACTACATTGTTCAGTACTCAACTTGGACAGAACAGTCTGTATGCTTCTCTAAAAATAAATTCAGATGGGATACATGTGTAGTCTTTTGAACTGCAAGTCTGAATCTGGAGTGCACATGGCAAAACTGTGTTCGGGACACAAAATGATATCCAGTTGTTCCTGCAAATCAAAAAATCAAGTACATGGGACTATGTTTATTTGTATTACTAAAGGTCACCTGTATTACCTACAGCTGAAAAAAACTCTGACATGACTCTGAATAATAGTTTGGGTCTATCTAACCATCTGCTCACTTTTATTTTTCTCTTCAGTTTGTCTGAAAGGCATAAAGAGCCATGGCAAGTGCTTCTTGGCTGACACTGTAAGAAAACGCTATCACACTGCCAGTGAGGACTGTAATGCCCTGGGCGGTGTCCTCGGTACACCCACATCCCGCGATGAGAATGACCAGCTCAGAGACTACATCCGCCAGAGCATTGGCCCAAATGAGCAGGTCTGGCTTGGCGTCAACGACATGGTGACTGAGGGCACCTGGGTGGATCAGACCGGCTCCAGCATTACATACAAAAACTGGGACACCTCCAACCAGAGGTCCCCTCAGCCAGACGGCGGCCAGTCCCACAACTGCGCCGTCCTGTCTGATGCCTCTAATGGGAAGTGGTTTGACGAGAACTGTCGTGAGGAGAAGCCCTCCATCTGCCAGTTCAACATTGTTTGATCACATGTATCTTATCATAGACTGCGCATGGTTATAGCTGCTTTCAGTGTGTACCCCTGCTGCGATGCTGCTCTGCCTGCTATTCTAAAGAGAGCTTTAAACCAGTGGTTCTCGGCTGGTTTTGCATCAGGACTAAATTCTGATTTAGAAGTCACAGTCAGCAGCATGTGACATATGGGTTTGTTATTTTTGACAAAAGCAATCTGGTGATGTGTCATTTGTAACATTCCTTGTGGTCACAGTAAAACCAGGAGGAACAGAATAAGCTAGAGATTGTGGGACACCATCTCCTCCAAAGGACTAGATCTATGTCCTACATATCCTTTTAAAAAAAGGATATAATTTTTGCAATTATTTCAAAACATATTGATTGTTCATAATTCAGAGTGCCAGTACTCCTGCAACAGAAGGTGTGTAGGTGCTGGCACCTTTCACGAATGTTTAAAAACTGGGTGTAACTATCTATTATTTCCACACACCTCTGTTGAGACTCACTAGTTGAGAACCACTGGTTTAAACTCGGATAACCCCTTTGCCATTACTGCATAATGACAAGACTCACATGGAGCCAGAATTCTAAGAGATATTTCATTAAAATAGACGTGATTTCAGTTTGCTAGCCTTGTAGTCTCCTATGTCTGGCCTGGTGTAACCTGAAACAATACATGATGAAAACCCATTCCTCTGCTGTCGTTTCTTTAAGGAAAAGTTTGGGGAGATAGGCTTATGCATACTGAGCGTTAGAGGTTCTGTGTGTAACTTTCAGAAAATCTTTGTTGTAGTGCCTCTCTGAGGCCGTTACGTGAACTGCAGTCAGCATCCTCCGTAGCCATGGCGAGCACCTGCATGGGCCACAACACTGAGTAACAAGAGACAGACTGTCATCCTGTTGAAAGAATACTGGAAAATCAAGTACAATCAAATAGAGTGGTGCAGGAAAGAGTCCGAAAACCCGAGTTTTTGGTTAGATGCCTGAAATAAGGTCTGTTGTTAATGTTGTGTTCAAATGGAACTCATATGCGCATGTTAACGACATGGGAAGTCATGAACACGAACTTGAAGCTCTCAGAAAATTTCCACTTACGAGGTCATGAATGCTACAACGGGGGAGTGTTCAGATGACTCTACCCTTGAACAAAGTGAACACTAACCCATTTGAATGCAGCATAACACAAGCTTAAAAGACTTTCACATTTTGTTCTACCACATAAAATACGTCAGTAAATACACCACTCTTGAAATTTGAAGCCTTTAGGTGTCCTAAAACAGGTGCTAACAAATGGCTAAATGAGAACTACAGAACATCAACAGGCCGAACATGGCTTTACAGCCTCACTGCGGTGAGGATGTCTAATGGAAAAACAGCATGTGTAGACTCTGTTGTGGTGGGTGCCAACCATTTGCTGACATAAACACAGTCCATTTCTTAGCTAACGTTAGCTACTGTTGTACACTGCAGCGCTATAGCGGAGCTGAAAAGAGATGCAGCACGATGTTGGGAGAACTTTGCCTTAGGAGGTCTTAATGCTAGAGAGAGATGTCTTCGTTAAGATTCATCACATCCTTTGGATCTTCCAGGAAAATTCGCCCCGAGTCCTTTACACAGTAGTCAGCCCACAGGTTGTTAGAGGAAACGGAGAGGGTCAGCGAAGGTCCCGGCTTTTAAGTTACATTAGGATCCATGCATCCGTTAGCAACTGCAAAAACAGTTAACACATGTAAAAAGTTACACACAGTACCTTTAAATGAGAAAATTGATACCACACATCTTTTCATCTTACTTCTAGCCAGAAAGTGTGCATTTCCCAAAATATCAAAACGCTGTTCCAGACAGTCAAAAGGCTCAGTAAAGAAATGCAGACTTTATTTTTAAATGTAACATCTGCAGCTGCAAGAAATGTGGCGCAACTATGTAATCCTGGCTCCTGCATTTGTTGTTTCCAGTAAAAACACTTCTCCATGGTAAACACTGGCTGCAGCTCTGCAGTCTGAAGTCTTCCACACCCTCATTCGCGTCACTGTTTTTCATGGCCAGAGTTCCTGTGGTTGAAATTGTTTTCACTATCCAGCATGCAAAAGGTGACCGTCTCAGCATGAGAAGGAAAGTTAAGTGTGATGGCAGTCATTGCCTCAAGAAGTGAACGGTGTCCCCACCAGACCTTTTTCCTAAAATTTATTGCAATAAAACACCTACATTTTATCTACAAGTAAAGAAAAAACAAATCTGTTTAAAAACAAAACATGTAAACAATATAAAAATACTATTTAAACAAGGACTAGCACATTTTTTTCATAGTCCCTGCTGCTGAATCCATGCCACGTGGAGATTTAATAAAACTAAACGATCAAATATTAAAGGAATAGTTTGACATTTTTTGTTGCTTTCATGCTCAGACTTAAATGAAAAGATTGATATAACTTTCATGTTTGTATGGTACGATACAGCCTCCAGATCATAAGCTAAGCTTAGCACCAAGGCTGGAAACAGGGACTGCCGGTTCCAATAGCCCAAAATTCCGAAGCCCTGTCAGTCTGAAAGATGTCCCACTGGACCAAAAGCCCATTCTGCCAACGGCCTGTTATCCCAAAAATGAACACCCATTGCTCTGAAGTACTGTTTCTTAGGAAATAAACACTCCCTGCAGTTACACAACCCAATTGCCAGAATTTTTAACAACACCGTAGTAAATGTTTGGTTAGGTTTAGGCACAGAAAAATATCACGTTTTGGCTTTAAAAAAAAAACAGGTGTAGTTGGTCAAGAGCCACTGAGAATCTGAACGGGGAGTGTGTATTTGCGGAGAAACAGGGCTTTGAAGCAATGAGCGTTTGTTTTTGAGACAATGGGCCGTCGAAGAAACGGGCTTGCGGTACAATGGCACATTTTTTTGGACTGCTGAGGCTTCGGAAATTTGGGCCATCGGAACAATGGCATGGCACCCTGGAAAACAGCAATCCTGATTCCGTCCAAAGGAAACAAAATCTACCTTCCAGGATCTCTAATGCTATGTTCACAGTATGAGCGACAAAGCAACAGGCTACAAGTAATTTTCAATGGAAGTAACTGACATGAGGCTACAAACTCTATATTTGGTCAAAAAGTTTCTCTACTTTTGATCAGTTTCAAACTTTAAATGATGTTCAGTTGAGGTGCTAGCCAGGTAGCTAGGCCAGTGATCATGTAGCTGGCAACATTGTTGCTGTAACATCTGTAGAATGAACACAGCATAATGCTCATTTGTTTAATCTGTATGAGTTTTATGCCTAATGTGTATGTACTTCTGTGTAATATATAGAGTATGCCCCTAGTGTTCAACATAAGGAAATGCATCTCTTTACAGCTAGCTAGAAATGCCACAGCAGATATGGCAGAAAAGTTAATTGTGAGTGTTCTTTGCTGTCCAATCTTGTGAAATATGCACATGGAGCAGTACGATGACAAAAACAGGACCAGTAATGCATGGCAACAGATAAGTGGGTCGACCTGTCATGTGTGTGAAATATTTTGTTGAAAGACATATGATCACTATGCATAGACTCTATACTTTTCACTTAGGAAAAAAAGCATAAGCTGTATTACATCCATCAATCTGTTAGCTAATTTCTTTTTATGCTAACCTGCTGTGGCACAGTGCATACAGTCTGTTCGAAATCTGCCGCAACAGCTCAGTTTTTTCAACATACTTGAGGCAAATTGCGGACTGAAGAAAAGGAGTGCCACTAACACATTGCAGATAACAGAGATTTTCATGGGAATGAATGGACTTCCAGTTGACACGCATGCACATTCAGAGCTGTGTAAATGAGGTGTTGCTGGTGGGTAGATTTTGTTACCTTTAGATAGAGTCAAGCTATCTGTTTCCCATTGATTCCAGTCTTTATGCTAAGCTTAGCTAACAAGCTGCTGGCTGGAGTTTTAGATTTACTGGACATGAATGAGATTGAAATCAATGTTCTCATCGAACTCTCAGCAAAACACTAAAAAAGTATCCCCCAAAATGCCAAACTTCCTTTAAAGAAGAGGATCACAGCTTCGAGTCTTGAACCTTGAAATGACTGAGTTCTGACAAGACGATGAACACATCACATTCAGAAGCTCATCAATCTCAGATTCCCTGAGTGTGATCGAGGCACAGAAGTTTACATCCGTGCAGTCTGGAGATACTCAGTGCTGTAATGACAATTCAGTAACAGCGGCCCATCATGCAGCTACAGTCCTGACACACTACAATGAGTCCTCTGTTACAGGCGGCTGTGGTTCCATGTCAGCACCAGAGAGCCGGATCGTATTTATGTCCCCTGTACTCTTGAACGTGTACAGTTCATTATCCACCATCCTGCGGTCCTGGAAGCCAAGGCTGTCCTGCCGGTCAATGGGAGTGCGTGGACGGGGCGGGAGGAAAGAGTCCGATGGGTTCAGGAATGTATTGAACTGGTCCATCTCAGGCTCATTGTCCGGTTCATTGATTACAGGCAGCTGTGCATCAGTGGGGCCTGTAAATGTTTTGTAAGAGTCCGTCTGCATCCCATTGAAGTTGTCCTGAATGCTGTCGGCATAGCTGGAGTCACCCAGCAGGTGGCCGTACACCATTGTGTCATCTATGGAGGCGTAGACGTGGGATTCGTTGTCAGACCGAGTTTTGCTGAAGTGCCTGTCACCTGGGCGGAAGATATTCCCTCCGGAGATGTAGATGGACGACTGCTTGTTTCTGTCTCTTTTCTTTTTCCTGCAGGATGAAGGCAGAATATGGACAGTAAGAAAGAGTCAATAAAAGCCACCAGTTAATCACTAATCTTATAGAATATAGACCAGAGGTCTTCAACATTATTTAGGCTAAGAACCCCTGAGCTACAGGAGAGACGGAACAGGAACTCTCAACTGCATTTATTGTACAAAACTGAGTTGCACTTGAGATAAATTCTGAGTTTGCAGCAGCTGTAGCACGGCTAGGTTCGATAACTACGGGCCCAGATTTTAGAGTTTTGCTACAGGTGTACTCACTTTGTGACGATGCATACAGCAGCCAGCACAATGAGCAAAATCAAAAGGACTCCTGCTATCCCCAGGACAATGGCCAAGAGATCTTTAGAGGCAAAAAGAACACATGGTAGAGTTAAATTCTTTAGTTGTTTCAGGTAAGGATTTTTTGTGTATATGGAAGGCCCTAATTGTTTGCTTACTGATCTTCTTCTGCAGGACGATTTTGGTCACCGCACCAAATTGGTCCTCCTCTGGTATACAGTTGGACATGTTGAGATAGAAACTATGCGGCACCTCCAACTTGTTCTCAGCCTCCTCGTCCTCCCTGCGGCTCATGAGCTCCTCCTCGTACCCCAGCATCTTTACCTTGATGGCTGTGTGCCTGTCTGCACATTTGGGCTGGCTGATATTGACGAACTGCAAGAGGGCCTTGTATTGGCTCGGCAAAGAGACAATCCAGGAGACGGTGGAGGAAGGCTTCATACCCTGAGGCCAGTTGGGGGTGGCCAGCAGGGTTGGCGATGACGCCTTTGGACTGACTCTGTAGATAATGGTCTCTAAAAAACACAAGGGATGGGAAGTAATGCAGAGTGTCAGTACTGTATCCTCCAGTATTCATGGTACGATAGTGCCCCTGTGTGGAATTAAAAAGTAAAGCTGGCCATAACTACAGTGGAGA